TGCATACAAGGCCTACGACTTGCTATGCGACTGGAAGGATACAAATACTTTTGAAAAAGAAGGATTGAAGCTGAAGAATACATTCATCAGACATAAAAATTCTTTTGATAAAGAAGGATTGAAGCTGCAGGATACACTCACCAGACATGGACTTGACCGTTCTTGGAAAGAAACGTGTGGTGAGAATCGAAACCAACGTAAATTTCATGATTTGTTAATTCTATTTGTCTAACCAGGGTGGCTCTCTCAGTCGGAGATGATAAACCAAACAACAATTTGTATTATTATTCAATGCAGTATTATTAGTATTATTAGTATTATTAGTTATATTAGTTTCAAATGAAGATGTGTTGCATCGAGCTCAAGAAAAGCGGGTGTTGATTCAAACGATTAGAGAGAAACAGAAGAAATGGCTTGGACACATAATGCGACATGATAAGGGCTTGTTGCTCAGAGTCATAGGAGGTCGTATTCATGGAAAAAAGAAGAGGGGAAGACCTCGTAAAGGCTTTCTAGACGATGTAATCACATAATGTGGAGCAACACGCTGAAACTGATGGCTCAAGACCGAGGAACTTGGAGAGACACTTGATATAGAATTTTGATTGGGTCACTGAACCTGTCATAAACTGACAGATCACTATTGATGATTGATGAGTATTATTTATTGATGGACCTATACAATAGATAGGGAAAGTGTATTAAATACAATTACCACTATTTCGAGCGATATTATCTAACAGTGTATACTTGAAGTATGTACATTTGTGAGTAAAGTGAAATGCGTAAAAAATAACGCGTCTTAGGGACTTCTACAAAACATGAACAATAAAAAGTATCAATGTTCTGTGGAATGTTTACGATTTTGATTACGACCTTGTTCATTCTATGTAGAACGGAGATCTGATACAGAGTCTAAGGTTTCTGAAGAAATGCTGGGTCACGTTTTATGGAGCATTGGTGATGAAACAAAGATTCACCAATTTGTTCGTGAACTGATCCCCGAGAAACATGAAAATCGATCTAACGTGTCAGGAAATAAAAGAAACGTTATCAAGGAATATATGGTTGTCTTGAGGGAATGGCGTGACAGAGCACAGACTGAAAACCAAATCATTCAATTAAGCTTAGCTCTAGAAAGAGCTAAGTGCAAGCCGCTTGATAGGACTTTCTTCAAGGGTGAGTTTCATGTGTTATTTTCTAAGGCTTCAAATGATGCTATTCATTTGTGAGAAAATGCTTGTATCTGTTTGTTGCGATATCAGAACTGTACGGTCGTTCGCCAAGATAAAAGAAAGTACTTAGTAGAGGTTTACGAAAATTTGTAATGCTCTGGGGTTTATCAATAACTCTCAAGGCGCTTCATGTGAGGGACAGAACCTGGACGAATGTTCTGTGATCTTATTCTCATGTTCTTCCTCTCCTCCTCTCTTCTCATCACTCTTCCTCATATGTTTCATATATTTCCTTTTCATGGCCAGTACCTGCTTTGCTAAAATGTTAATTATTTTAATAATGCAGAAGTATATTTTAACAAATATTGGACATTTTGCGAATTTTTGTTGTTTGTAGTTCCTGAACATCTCCTGAAGGCGATTTCCCCACAAGATGTAGAAGGGTTCATCTACAGACTGACAGGAAGACATTGCAAGAGGCTTGCTAAGGCTGTAGGAATCACTGATGAGAAGGTGATTACCGCCATCATTTATGAAAATAATGATGATCTGTTTGACACTCAATCAATGATCATTGACTGGGTTAATGGACAGGAATGCAGCAACTTCGAGAAGAGATGCACGCTTGATGATGCCGTCATTAAAATTGGTCGTCATGACATTACAGGTATTGGATCCATTAAACAAGCATTCATGTTTTTTTTTATTTATTACTTATTCATTTATTCTTCTATTCATTAATTAATCGATTTATGATTTGATTAAGTTATTCACTCATCTATCTATATATTCATATATTTATAATAACAGTGAAGCGCCAAGCCTTCCTGGCTAGACAGACTTAAGCGCCATACAAGGGATATTTTGTATTATTATTATTAATATTACTATTATTATCATTATTATCATTGTTGGAATTATTATCAATATTTTCATTACAGAGGTCTCGTAGTATAATGGCTAATTTACCTGGTTTAAATTCCGGCTTGAGAGCATTTTCTCTTGAGCCTTGCAACAGGTTACGTATTGTGATTGTTTGGGCATGTTTATTCTTATTCAATATGTCTGTTTAAAAAAAAACTACTTTTAAGAAAGTGCATACGCATTTTTTGATTTTATTTCTTGTGTTTCAGATTCATTTGGAACAACCATCTATCGTGTTAACACACGAGGCGCTGTACAAAGCCCACATCCAGATGCCAAGACTTTCAGTGAGTTCAATTTTTTTCTAGTAAATAGCAATTTATTTATATTTACCTCCCCACCTGTTAAATGGATAAATAGACTCCGATTAAAAGAAGAAGAAAAGTATTACCCCATCATTCCCGAATAATCATATTCTATTACTTCAACATTCGCTAAAAGAGCAAAATGGCGTATGGAAACTACACTTCTCCCGATCCTGATATAGAGAAGATTCATTCTTGTCAGAATGATGCATCTTTACCGCTTTATAATTACCACATGCTATAGAAACTTAGTCAAGGATGTGAGGCAAACATAAAGCCAAACTTCTTATTCATTTAATAGTCAAACATGCTGATGGCAAAAGTAGTATTTTCCCGCTTGTTTTGGAAGCAGAATACGCTTGATTGTCAAATAATCGTGTTATTTGTTCTCCTTGTTTACATTCTACTCCAAAATGAGAATGACAAAATATATCCTTTTTTATGACAGTGCACTGGTAGAGGAACAACTGTAACTGTCATGTCAGCACAGTTTCCAGATGCAAGACTTAATTTTACCAAAAACTGGGAAATATTGAAATATCATAGTGCCAAAAATATGTTTATATATAAGAATCACTCAATACATTATGTTACTTGGTTTGAACCCTCCGACGCTCAGAAAATCATCTAAAGCTAATGAAGGTTCAAACAGTGTCATAAATATTTAAACATTTAGCATCCTTGCATTGTTATTTTAGTACCGTGACTATAAACGGACCTTGTTTTTATACACACAGATAGTACTAGTGTATTCAATGATGATCTACATGCGTTGCTGAAGCATCTTCCTACAGATGCAGTATCAGTCTTTCTTGAGAGGCTTGGTATCTCAGTTGATGCGGATAGGGACGATACGGAAGAGAAGCTGAGACGTTGGAGGGACGATAACCTGCGAGAATCTAAAGCATGTTCTTTAAAAGAACTTGTTTTGATTCACAAACATGTGCTGAACGAGACAAATAACAATAATGGTAAGTGACTGTACCGATGAATCTAAAGAAGTGGAAAAGTTGGTTTTCACGTCCGGAATTATATTGCCTGATACTGCAACGGACAAATACTGAAACTGTAAATCATTTTTATTTTCTTTATAGATTATCATTGTTTGTTTTATTTCGACAGAAAGCCGGACTTTTCATTTCATTTCATTTATTTATTTAAACACGGTAACTCAGTCAGCATAAACGGCTGATTTTCAGAAAGTCTGTGTTAACTGAATACAAAGTATACAAATCATATCACAAACAAAAAACAGTAAAAAAAGATAACTTCCATACGAAAGTTTCCATATTATATCATTGATATGGTTTGAAGGACCTAGAAATTAGTTGATTTATTCAGATACATTTGGAAAATATTCTTGCTTCAAACAACATAATATATGCACCAAAATATATTTCCGCATACACACGGCAAATTGATTTTTATTTGTGCTGTACATTTATTCAATCAATTGTTTTATAAAAAAAGTTCTGGACTTAAAAGATGAGGAACTAAAGGACGTGTTTGCAAGCATCTCTTCAAGGAAACAGATGGACCAGCTAACGTCAGGGCTTGGATTAGATACCAAAGAGGAGTCATTGACTCTTCAGCATCTCAAAGAATGGAGGGATAGCCAAAGCATGGGGGAACGTCGAGAAACTCTAAGACAGACACTTCACGACATGAAATTATCAGGTTCGTACAAAAACATTAAAAGGCAATGTTCAATCTACAATGCAGATGTCAAGAAACATTCATGTCAAACGAATACCCATTATAAGAGAGATCACCACACATTTTCTGCAATATAAGAATCTTCCGAGTCTCACAAGTAAGACACCTTAAGTTAGATGGGCTTTTGCCTTCAAACTAATCTCAGTACATTTAGATTATTGTAGTATAATGACTATCGAGCTAATAACTGAAGTCTACTCTTTTATCTTCTAGGATGCATAGTTAATCGGCGCCCTCCACAACATGTGTACGAAGCTGAGATGGTACGTTTAGCGTTCAGTATAATATGTACTGACGTTGTTCCATTGTCCGCACTTCTCAACATGAATACGAGCAAAGGAAAAATAGTGCGGGAACCCAAGAAAGGAACTGTAGGTCTGTTACTACAACTATTAGAAAGATCGAAGGATCTCGACAATCATCGCCGCCGTGATTTCTGTGTCGCCATTAGAGATCTTGGGTATATGGATGCTGCTCGATCAGCCTATTTCGGTGAGGAAACAATGTACATTTTGGGGGCAATTTATTTATAGCCGCTTGTCCGAATTCACTAAACAAAGTTTTCCTATTTTTTTTTAATGCGAAATCAAAAATAAGATGTATGCATAAAGAGATAGATGGTGAGTTGATTATTTAAAGTTTCTAGTATGCGTACATGGGTGTCAAATCGGCTGAGAACTGTGAACCTAGGAGAACAGTATTGCTCAGCGTAACATAATAGTCATTGAGCTTTCCTTTGCCATGGTAATTGAGGGAGACGGGGCATTTGCTTTGTCCAAAGACCGGTGCCTTTGCTTGTTTAATTCGCGCTTAACATAGCATTCGATAACAATTATGATCAGAAAGCCATTTTGCGTGAGATATTCGTAATATGGTCAAAATGGTCAACCTCTGCTGCAGGTTTACACGGAGATCAGATTCTCTGTTCTCGTTCAATGGAAATTAAGGGGGCCGATTTTGTAACGGATAATATTGAACGTGTACGTGCACATGTGTTAACCTATAAGTCCATAAGCGGTCATGACTGCTCTACCATGACCTCTGAATTGTAAATGAAAAGAAAGACATCCTTCCTATCCAATACTGGGATCAGTTCAAGTATGTTAGCATTATGTGGAAAATGGCATAAGTTTCATCATTAACAAGATCTACCGAACATTACGAGGTCCAATGAAGTAAGTTATATCGAAGCAGGTACGTATAAGCAATAGTTCTCCGTAATAACTACTCCGTAAATAGATATGTGTTAATTCTATTTAAAAGAAAAAAAAGCTTGCATCTGGTCTTTAGAAACAGCTTCCTCTAGTACCCCAAATTTACAAGGAAACAAAAAGATGCTGGGATGTTATATATATTTTTTCTTAAACATTACATCTTCTAAGATTTTGATGAGATTAGGGTTGCGGGAAATTTTCCACAACCTTTAACAATGCCGATGATTTAATTAAATGATTGTATTTCTTTTGCCCTAATATGTTATGCATACAGACTACGATGAAAGCCTCAGTGTACTCTACAACGTCACTTTAAGCCTGTCACAACAGGAAAAGAAAGCGTTAATGGAGCATCTTGATTCTGATAAAGCAGTCCTGTCGATAGGTCGAGTTAGACAGTGGAGCGCGGGGACAAACGACAACCTGGCACTTATGAAAAGATGGAGGGATCAGTTCAGACCAGAGCCTTTCCACCACAGCTCGAAGCTTGTTCAGGGTCTTCGAGCAATTGGGCGAACGGAAATTGCAGATGAAGTCTTGGGAGGTAAGTGACATATCGACACACCCTACATGCCCAAATAATAATAATAATAATAGCTCACATTAATATAACGCGCCTATTCCTTAGGATCTTTAGGCGCAGCACATATTATTACCCGGGTCATCGGATTCAGGCTTACCCGAACACAATGTATGCACCATGGTATAGTAATATTCACTGCTATGAGAGACATCTAGTTGTTTTATATACGGTCAACGGAAGATTACATGATAGTGCTATGGCGTGTCAAGAGGTGCCGAAAAGGGTCATAGAATACATGTGCGACTTACCAATCATGGTAACCAAGTTTGTTTACGCTATTGAGACCTAGTCTTACTAGGGTGTCTAATCGCGCACCACTCGAGTTTGTGTGCTAAAATCCTTCCCATTGAGATTGCACGCATATACGTTAAATGCTAAAAAACGCTCAAAAGTCTTTTGAAAAGTGCCATAGGGCTTTTTTTTTTCTTCAAAAGACTATTGACCGGTTTTTGGCATTTTAAGTGAATGGCTAAAATCACGACTCCAATTTCGACCAATCAGATGGCTGGAAAGCCAAAAAAAGAAAGGGATCACACCATGTTTTTAAAGAAAAAGATTATGTTGTCACCCTTTTGGGGGCGTTCCCACTATCAAGATTGACCCCAGGATTGAAATCGCGGTCTTAATCGTTGAGTAATCGTGGTGATTCTATCACATCTTAAGGTCAGTCGTTGCAATCGCTTTGATCGTAGGAAAGTTTTGGACTATTAAACAAAAAATATACAATCAACACGATTAATTGTAAAGATAAGAGGACTAATTACCAATTTTGAAAATTTACAAGGCGATGCAGTTTTAATTTGCCTGGCCCAGAAAATGATTTTCATTACTTCACCTAAATGTTTCCCCATTCTTCTATTCCAAGCTTTATCTAGTCTCTTCTTTTCATTTCCCAGTATTTTTTTTTTCATTTCCTCGTTGATTTTGTCTGCGAAGTTATTGCTATTGTGTACATTATTTAGCTGTTTCTAACCAATTGTTATTGTATTTTAACATTATTGTTTGTCTTTTGTAAATTCAATTTGTTTAAGCCTTTTGAATGCAGATTTTAATCAATAAATTAATTTAATTAAGTTCAATACAGTAATACAATTCAAGTCTAGGAAAAGGGCACTTTCTCTAGGACGCTCTGAACAGAATATATCATTTATTTTTTGGTGTAAACGTGATAACTATCCGGAGGTAGTAATTGAGAAGAGCAAAACATAATTATTTCAAATGATTTCTTTATCTGTATAGGTATATACCAAACAATGGAAATGAGTTCAGCAGTAGGAATAAACATTTGCTCCAATCTCGAGGACGATCAACTGCAGAGACTACATAACCATCTTAGACTACATACAACGGAAGGTCAAGAGGATGTAACAAATACAATAACGACCGTGCTAGAGTGGATACAGAATTGTGTAAAGCACTTTGACAAAATTCCTGCGCTGAAAGGACTAGTAAAGAACAAATTCGATTTTCGAAAACATGAGAATAACGAAATTTTCAAGGCAGGATTTTTCGAACTTGCAGAGGAAGTCATGCTCCTCGAGCTTCCAAGATTTCCTAGGATCGTTGAATCCGGGATTGGAGGCTCATTCGCGGCAATAATATCCTTTGACAAGACATGAATCAACATTTTCGTCAATTCTCTTGTCTGAGTCCGCCGAATTTTATATTAACTTTTGTCTCCGGTACTCTGGGTCAGAGATTATTTTTAGTTTAGAACTTAAACAGCAATTAAAAGTGATAATGAATCGTGTGAATCAATGGTACACTTTGGAACTGCACAGGTAGATTTTGTATTTATTTATTTTGTTTTGTTTTGTTTTGTTGGGGGGGGGATGGGCTAGTGTTCATTATACTATACATGTATTATCTTCCAAAAGTAATGCAACATTGTAAAGTGACTCTTTATCCTGGTCATACTTGTTGTATGTTTTTATCTAAATACACGAATATGCCGGACATGATTAACGGGGATTTAGCCTCAACTCTAAACTTGTTTATACCGAGGAAAAAAATACTATACCGAGACTGCTTCTGTTTATACAAAACAGTTATTCAACCTGTCTTTGAAAAGATTCCAAACACTTCAAAAACAGACTTGACACTCAAAATCGTTTTACTTGTGGATTCTCGATTCACCAGCAGTGTACTATATTACTCATTGTCTATACATTGTCTGTAGTTAGAGAGTTTGTTAATAGTTGTTAAATGATTCGTACCATAATGTATTAAGTGTTAACATTGAAGTTCTATCGAACTGATTACTTATATCGAACTAATCGTTCTCCTTTCCTGACTCCACACTATCTTCCTGAAAAGTAAGAATTACCTGTTAAACACTGATATAAGAAAGTAATTCTTACTGATGGTGAGAATGAAATCTCACCGTTTGGCCATTGTCCCATACACGCTCATTTCTCACGTTTCCGCCAGGGTGACCAGAATTTGATCGTTGAAATACCGGACATTTTAAGACAGGATTTTTGTTTTAACTTGCAAAGGAAACCATGCTGCTTAAGTGCCCTATAGATTTCCAGGAAGGAGATTATTCCATCCCTGAGGAGTTTGAGAAAAGAACGTACTTTTGAGAGTATAATATGCATATAGATGGATCGAATTTACATTTAATATAATGAATGTTGCTGTGAAGAGCAGTGCTATCATAGATATGTTGCAGTCCAGTGGATATGGTGGGTCGTGTAGTTTGCGCCAAGAGACTCAGTCGTGGCCATACTGTCCTTTGGTAGGACAGTAATCTACATCTTTGTTTCTCGTAATGTATATGTATTGACTATCGGTGCAGGGTATAAGGTAATTAATTGAATGCTTAATGAAAGGCAGCATAACTAAATACATGGTTATCATTGTAATATTATATTGTAAAAAGGATGTGTGGGTTGTAAAATGAAACTATTATTACCATTGTTATTGTTAGTACTAAACGGTTGTAAACATGCGGAAAAAAGGTTTAGTCTTCAATAAGTTTCGTTGCAGTAGTCCACACTTTCACATAGCCTGCGCCAAGCTTCTATGGGGTTGTAGTTTTCAGATTGGTCCTTTACTAGACCAATACGTAGGGTATTGATGGATGCAATCTAAGCTTTAAGACACTATGTAGTGAAAATTAAGTACTTCCTTTCTTAATATATTTGTTATAGTTATAGTTATTAGTTCTCATGTTTTGTTGAAATATTCAAATGCAAAAATCTTTATGGAGAGGGAGGGAAATAGTAAATATTAAGGTGGTCCATCCTATTTCAACTAATGTCAACAGCGCAACGTTTGCTCTATATGATGTCTGATCTTCAAACTTGTGTCCAATCGGCCCATGGAGACCTCTAAACTCGATGCATCGAAAAACTCTTTGCATATATCAACACAGTGTTGATGGTGTGACATATAGTGTAATACAAATGTATTGTTGGGGGGGGGGGGAGAAAAAAATCGGTGCTTTCTTGTATTATTTATTTTAAAAAGCTATGTATACATTGTACACTATTTTATCTATTTTTGAGTGACATTGATATTGTGAGTACATCTTTTATAATGGCATTTATGATTACAACTGTACTTCTCTTCTCTTTTTAAATCGTCTGTTACCGATTAATTTCATTAATTCTGGGAGCTTTCCTTTTGTAATCTGTTATATAACAAAGGGTATTATGGGAAGAAGGTCGTCTTCTCTTTAAAAATTTAATCCGTTCAAAATAAATTAGAACTGTTTACTTTTAAAGTGTTTGGTTTTAAAGTGTAGCTATGATTAAAAACTCATCCATGATTTTTCGAGCATAAAGACAAAAATATAGGAACACCCTTATATGAAATCCCTAGGGATTGGAGATTGTGCACATGGTTTGTGCGGCCAAATATTGAATCCACCATGTTAATAATACTCTAATTGGGAACTTCTAGACTGCCGTTACAAAAGATATGTGTGTTATTGTGTACTATGATTCTTAAGATATTAAATAATTACACCCCGTCTTATATATCAAATAATATAAAATATCGCATGTACAATTATACATTTCGCTCGTCGCAAAATCTAGATCTCCCTAAACCGAATTCAGATAATTGCAAAAGAACAGTCTTGTATAGGGGGTGACAAAATATAACCAACTACCAGTCTGAGAATACATCCGAAATATTAAGATACTTACATACCCTACTAACTGATAATTTTTGTTAACACACTTCTTTAATAACAAATTATTTGTTGCATAACCTTGGGTGTGTGCGTGTGTGTGTGTTTGTGTGTGTCCATGTATGTCTACGCTTATGTTGTTATTTGTGAATTTTTGTATTTAAAACAAATATTTATGATTTGTTTCTATTCTGCTTTATGTACACTTGTATGTAAATATTGTAATGTAATAAGACCCCAATGACGAACAATATTTTTCTATAAACATTGCTGAATTGTGCTTTCCACCGGTTGTTATCTGTGTACATGTATTTATATTTTATTTCATATATCTTTCTTTGTATACTATTTGTATCTGATTTCGGAAGAAGAAAACAACAACAACCGGGGTAGTAGTATATCTGTAAAGCGATTATATACATCGTATATGTATGAAGAGCTATATAAAAGCGGAATATCATTATTATTATTATTATTTGGCGACAATTGCGGTGTATCCCTCAACGAACCGCGAAACTTATAGTTTTGTCTTAACCATACCCACCGACAAATGTATATTTGTTTAAAAATTAACTTAGGATTCATCAACGAATAATATTGTCACTTCAGGCAATGAACAGTAAAAGTTACCTCTGATTTTGGAAGACGTTAGGGATAACGGAAACGCTGGAGTTTGCTCACAAGCCGATTATCAATAAAACCTGTAATATTTGCCATACTTTAATATAAATTAAAACGCGGTTGGCTTGTTCATCTACAACATGCACAATTTCTGACCAGCAATTTTAAACCATTCGTCAAATAAAGAATTACAAACTCATTAATACGGCCGATTGCCACATGAATTGCCTCTCTGTCCTCGCCATTAGTTCAACCATAGATTTGTTGTAATACAACGTTTTTGTTAACAAGATAATGTTGTTCGTATTTGCTATTCATATTCGTTATATTCATTCGTTTATTTGCTTTGGGGGATTGATGGTCCATCTAGTGGTTTGTGATGATATAAAGGTGTTTATTGTAACTTTCAAATCAAATATGTATTTTCCAATTGCCAATAACAAAGGGACAATTTACTCGAATATTTCTTCTCGAGATATACTCGAGATATATTCGCATTTAAAAAGCGATATAATGACAAGATGGACAAGGTGAATATAGATATGTACAAGAAATGTTAGAAATTTAAAAAAATGTCACTTTGAAAATGCAATTATTTATCTGGATTTTCTTAAGACGTCGTTATAATTTGGATTATATCCCAGGAGTATTTTGATTGCCATTACTTGACTGACCTGAACATAGTTTAAAGAGTGTCATGTAAGAGGAGTAGGAGTAATAACAAGACTTGCAAATCTTGAGTTGATAATCTGATTTCGATGTTATGTGAAGTATAACCCTGGAGGTTAACTTTTGTTGAGTTTTGTGTTGGTCCTTGTTTATATTTCTTTGTTGAAATATCAGAACTTATTGTATTTTCTTATCGCAGGGACTGGTAAATATGTTTCAAACCCAGAATAAAATGAGGTTGTTGCTGTATGGTAAATGGCATGTGTGTATTAGTGCACATTTTTGAGTTAACATATGTGATAGAAGACATATAAATTTGTGGTACAGGGTGAATTGGTAACCAGTTTTATTTTGAGCATTGCATATATTATAGTTTTGGCGAAAATTAAACTAATGCCATATTTAAAATATACGTTAACATTTTCTTTAACGGTTAGAAGGGTTTACGCTCAAATTTTCTTTCTATCCAAACATGTGTTAAAACATTTGGTGTTGATAAATTTGGTTAATAAATTCGGTGAAAAGTGTTTGATGTTTTGTGAGATCTCTCTCTCTCTCTCTCTCTCTCAATCTCTCACTCTTTTCCTTTTATTTTTTTCATTCGCATGAAAAAGATTGATCTCCAAATAGTCTCATATTTCAAACATACCTAGGAACAGTTCACACATGTATACGGTTATATGTTTGTTTAGTCATGCGAGCCTACGTAAATATATTTAAATTATAATCCGTCATCTATTGGAATTAATCATATTTCCCTGTAAGTTCCCACCTAAAATTCTTAATTTAATAAGTTTTGTTGTCTATAACCTTGTTTGCAGTCTAAATGTGCATATGATGAGTGAGCGCAAGGAAGGCTACGTTAGTTTTATGAACACATTTTGCATGATGTATGAACTGCCATACGATGTTAAGATTAATGTTGCGGATACTATCATATCGCGTGATATGTCTGGGCGATGTTCCAACATAATGAGAAAAACATCGCAAAAATGAAAAGGTGGACCTCGGAACCTATCTGCAAAGCGTGCATGCACGAGATTTGGGAATATCGTAACAATCCGATATCATTTGTGTATGCAATAATCCTTTCAAAGGATTATTGCATACGCAAATGAAATCGAAATTGTAACTTGAAAGAAACGCGACTCTAAGGGGTTACTTTCCTCTAGGGCATAGTGCATGTTGATATACACAGTGAAGTAGCATATGTCAAGCCATTGAGGGGCAGGTGCATGCTTTTGTTCGGGGGAGGGCACTAGTGTGAGAATCAGACTATGATCTTCCCAAAGTCCTATCCCCCACAATTACTCCCCAGTCTCTCTTTAGCTTCATCCTTTCTCATTATTTTCTCTTCGTTCTTTGCTTATCAATGGGGGGGGGGGGGGGGTTCCTCTTTTGCGCCTCGTAGCTACGTAACTGTAATTTATCAATACCAAAACTCTTCCAACTTAACAGGGGCATAGTATAAATGAACCCAAATCTACTGTACAAACCTTTGCACAGAATATGAATATACAATGAACTTCCATGGAAGCTGTCTACGGAAAGTGAAAATACATAAAGTAAAAAATAATTGAGAGAGAGAGAGAGAGAGAGAGAGAGATGTGGGCAACTCATATGATTTGAATGAATGGATGTGTGGTCGAAACGTTTTTTCATAAATACTTTAGCAATGGACCAAAGCGTTAAAACTAAGATGTGGTTATTGTTGTTGTTAGTTGCGGAGGTGTTGTCCCCGTAGAAAAAAAATACTCTGTCCTGTGTCAGTATAATATGTATTTCTCTTTTAATGACTTTTAATGATGTTTCTTTGGTCACACTTTCTATCCATCTACTCTTCTACCTCCCTTTTCTCCTTTAACCCTACATTCTGCCAGGCATGCTATCATGCTCCATAAGTTGTCTGGGGGTAGTTGTCCGGGGGAAGTAATCCTAGCGGGTGGTTACCCTAGGGGGTAGTTGTCCTAGGGGCCAGTTGACTGGGGGTAAACTCCGGGGTGGATGTCCAGGTGTCCTAGAACTGAGTTGGGCAACCTGGTTCAAGTTGTGACCAAGTCGAATCAAGATGGTCGAGCTGAGTTTAAAGAGGACTCAATTGTACTTGTACGTGTAATATTCAGACAAAGAGAGCCATAGAGAGAGAGAGAGGGAGAGAGAGAGGGGGCAGAGAAGCAGAGAGAGGCAGAGATCATTCATTTGCATATTGTTTCAGCGAAACATGAAAGTTATTTGTTTTTTCCAAGATTTTTGCAAGATACCGTATTGACCCTGACCTACTTCTAGGGTCAAGTAAGTGTATATGTTGCAGAGCCGGTACATCGAGAACTGAAGCAATGCCGACTGATGACATGACAAGCCTAAGGTTGAAGAGGAGAGGGACCAAAGCCAAGTTCACCAGGTTGGGGAATGTGTTGGATTTCCTGATAGAGGAAAAGCGGCCGGTGGAAGAGGTGAAGGAAGCTTTCAAACAAGCCAACCAGGCTTACGTAGACCTCCAATCCAAACACGAGGCCTATACAGAGAAGATTGAGAACGATGAAGAATTCAACAAGGAGGAGCTATGGCTTGATGAGTGCCAGAATTATTTCTGCAAGCTACAGATCCGAGAGAAGGATTATATCTCTCAGATGTCTTCGTCGCAAGAGCCTCAACAACCAACAGAGAGAGATGAGGAGAGCTCCCAGAGAATTATTGTTCAAGCAGAGTCGAACCGGCCTCAAGCTCCTCGCTTCAACATGGAGAGGCCCAAGTTACCAACGTTCCAAGGAGACATAAGAGAATACAATGTATTCAAGGCTGATTTTCAGCATGTAATACATCCACACTACGATGAGAGGGATGCTTTGATGATCCTGAGGTCTTGTTTGAAGGGGAAGCCACTTCAACACATTAGAGGAATAGGGCGAGATTATGAAGCTGCATGGGGTCAGCTAGATCTGCTCTACGGAGACTCAAGGATGGTAGCTGATGCTATTATGGAAGACGTATCCCGATTTCGTCCTCTGAAAGATGGGGAAGATGAGAGATTCTGTGACTTTGTGAATCTCATACGCAGAAGTTTCAATACCTTGAAGGAGGTAGATAGAGCTGAGGATATGAACAATAGTCACATGCTAGCCATCATTGAGAAGAAGCTCTATGTCACAGATCGACAGATGTGGTTCCGAAAGCAAGGAGAAGGAACAACGGCGACATTAGAGGCACTGTTGAAGTGGATGGAGATTGAGTTGAGAGCAAGGATAAGATCATCTGCTCCAGTAAGGAATGATGCAGCCTCTAAGTCCAGATCCGCTGTTAGTCAGGTTACAGCATTTGAGGAGAGACAGCAAGACTATCGTTGCTGGATCTGCAAGAATAAGGATGGGCACTGGACTGACCAATGCAAGACTTTCCTCGATAAGTCGACAGCGGAGAGATTGGAGATGGTGAAGAGTAACCGAGCTTGTTATAGCTGTTTGAAGCAAGCCGGCAGAGAGCATCGAATGGCTACTTGCAAGAAAAGGAGACGGTGTCCAGAGAAATACAAGGGGCAACCATGCAAGTTCTTTCACCATCCTTTGTTACATCCCAGCATGGACAACAATGCGGTGGGAGTAGCCCTTGTAAGAGGTACTGAAGCCATGCTACCCGTCATCAGGGCAAGGTTTTCAGGTTCAGAGCTGAAGATCCAAGGAAACGTGCTGTTAGATTCAGGGGCCCAGATCAGCATCATCAGACAAGGGCTCGCTGAAGACTTGGGACTGACAGGAAAGAGCATCAGTATCACAATAACCAAGGTGGGCTGTGTAGAGGAATCTGTGACAACATCCTTGTATAGAGTGCCGGTCAGTTCAGTAGGTGGGAAGACAATCCATAAGATATTAGCTGTTGGATTACCGTGCATCAATGATGACATTGAGGAGGTGAACACTGATAATCTTGCCCGACAAGTAGGCCTCAACCCCAGAGAGTTACGTAGAGGTAGTGGGTCTATAGATCTTCTGATAGGAATTGACCACGCTATGATGCACGCAGGTGAAACGAGACAACGAGGCAACTTCATCTTTAGGAAGTCACCACTTGGATGGGTGGTGTTTGGAGCATCTAAGCTGAACCAGCAGTATCAGAATAGAGTGCTCAACGTGCAACTGAGTCCAGCAACTGACTTATCAGCGTTTTGGACTACAGAGTCGATGGGAGTTGATGTGGGTTGTCATTGTGAAGCCGAAAGGATGACTAAAGTAGAGAAAGATGAACATGATCTTATCTGGAACTCTGCCAAGAAAGTGGGTAAGCAGTGGCTTGTTCCTTACCCATGGAAGGATAACCCGGAGAAGCTGCCCGACAACAGAGTGCAAGCAGAGAGAATGCTTCAGGCGACGGAGAAAAGGCTTGCAAAGAACCCAGAGCATGCTGAAGTTTACAAACAGCAGATGCAAGAGATGGTCGAGATGGGGTTTTCGAGAAAGCTGACCGATGAAGAGAAGAAGAGGCATGATGGGCCTGTCCATTACATTGGTCATCATGCGGTTGTCAGGCCGGAAAAAAAGAGCACACCAGTGAGAATTGTGTTTAACTCATCAGCAGTTTTCAAGGGACAGTGTCTGAACGACTACTGGTTCAAAGGGCCAGACCTATTACAGAGTCTGTTCGGAGTACTCCTTCGCTTCAGAGAACACAGAGTTGCGATATGCGCCGACATATCCAAGATGTACCACCGAGTACTGATTCCAGAATCCGATCAGCACGTCCATCGGTACTTGTGGAGAGGATTAGATTCAGAGAGAGAACCGGATGTGTACGTGAAAACTGTAGTCACGTTTGGAGATAAGCCTGCTGCAGCAATGGCCCAGATAGCTCTGAGGAGGACAGCAGTAGAGGGAGAGTCTCAACATCCTAAGGCAGCAGAAGTACTGAAACGTGACACGTACATGGACGACATATGTACCTCAGTAAGAACGTCAGAGGAGGCGAAAGATCTTGTCAAGGACATAGATAAGGTGCTAGCTGACGGAGGCTTCAAGGTGAAGGGTTGGCAATCCAACGAACAGCTGAAAGATGAGACTTCTCAGATGAAAACCAACGTTCTTGAGAATCTGAGTGAGGAGAAGGTTCTGGGGATGGTATGGAACCAAAACACAGATGAGTTTTCATACAGAGTGAAAAGAAGTATGATCCCAGATCTTCCAGACGAACAGAAAGACACCACCAGCAAATGGACAAAGAGACGGATACTAAGCCAGATTGCAAAGATCTTTGATCCCATAGGATTTGCATCAGCATTACTGGTGAAGGCAAAGATAGGAATGCAACGCCTGTGGCAGCTTGGTTTAGATTGGGATGAAGAGCTACCCTCCAGAGAAAAGGCAGAATGGGTAAAACTCTTCAGAGAGATGGAGAACTTAGATGGAGTGTCCTTCCAGAGATGTTTGACACCACCCGGTGCAATGAGACGACCTACATTATGTGTCTTTTGTGATGCATCTGAAGAGGCGTTTGGAGCTTGTGTTTACATTCGCTGGGAGTTAGAGGATGGCAGCTATGATGTTAGATTTGTGACGGCGAAATCTAGAGTAGCACCACTAAAGAAGTTGACACTGCCGAGATTGGAGCTACAAGCTGCAGTGGTTGCTGTTAGACTCGATGCAACCATCAGAGATGAGACCACACTAGAGTTAAGAGAGACAGTGTTCATGACAGATAGCATGATAGTGCTTGGATGGGTTCGAAGTCAGGCAAGAAGTTTTAAGCCCTTTGTGTCAGCTCGAGTAGGAGAAATCCAAAGCAAGTCGAATCCCCAACAGTGGAGACATGTGAGTGGAGCAGAAAATCCAGCTGACGACATTTCGAGAGGTGTTACAGTAGAGAAGTTAGAGAGGTGTAGATGTGGTCCTCAATTTCTAAGATCGCCTGAGGAGGAGTGGCCACAGAGTGAGACGAAATCTGAGATTTCGTCAATGGACAGTGAAAGGCGTAAAGTTCAACAGGTGTCGAATGTAGTATTGGCATCAGACAGCATCGACTGTGAAAGAGTTTCCAGCTGGAGAAAACTGGTGAGAGTCACTGCATATGTACGGAGATTTACCCACAACATGAAGGCGAGGGTAAGATCAGGAGATGAGAGAGGGAAAGTGACGGCAGGACCACTTACAGCAGCTGAGCTAGGTGATGCAGAGATGTACTGGGTCAGAGAGGCTCAGAAACCGCTTCATGACAGACTGAAGAAAGGGGAGTTCAAGACTCTAACACCCTACATAGAGAATGGAATCATCAGAGTTGGAGGTAGAGTTGGAGAAGGCGTGATTTCGTATGACAGCAGGCATCCTGTGTTATTACCTCATCAGCATCGCATCTCTACGCTCATCACTAAGCATGTCCATGAATTGGGGCATGATGGAGTTGCGACAACGGCAGCGAAAGTGAGAAGCAACTACTGGGTGATTGGCATACATAGGCTTGCCAAGACTATCAAGCACAGGTGCGTGATGTGTCGTAAGATGCAGCACAAGGTCGAGTCGCAGTTTATGGCTGAGCTACCAGAGATACGTATGACACCGTTTTCGCCTCCATTCCTGTATACTTCTTGCGACTACTTTGGGCCGTACAGCGTGAAGGTGGGGCGGAATAAGGTTGCTAAGCACTATGGAGTGATCTTCACGTGTCTTAACACAAGAGCGGTACACCTTGACCTAGCGGTAGATGTTTCTACAATGGAGTTTCTTCAGGTTCTACGTAGGTTTTTCGCATTTAGAGGTCAACCGAAGGTCATCCTGAGCGATAATGGTACACAATTTGTGGGAGCGGTACGTGAGCTACATGAGATGGTAAAGGGATGGGATAGCGATCTACTACGCGAGTTTTGTGCGGAGAAAGGTGTAGAGTGGAGGTTTACAACCCCTTCAGCTCCTCATCAGAATGGATGTGCTGAAGCACTTGTGAAGAGTAGTAAGTCCGCATTAAAGAAAGCTATAGGTGATCAGGTCCTCACTCCTTTTGAGTTATATACTTGTTTGGTAGAAGTAGCAAACCTCGTCAATCAGCGTCCAATAGGGAGGGTACCGAATGACCCCGACGATGGTAGTTATCTCTGTCCCAATGATGTTTTGTTAGGGAGAGCATCCAGTAGGGTACCCCAGGGTCCGTTCAGAGAAACGAAGAATCCGCGACATAGAGTCGAATTTGTACAACGAATCGTCGACTCATTCTGGAAGGCATGGAATCGCGATGTATTTCCAATCTTAGTACCGCGAAAGAAGTGGAATGTTGATAGACGTAATCTTCGTGTAGATGACATAGTTATATTGTCAGATCAGAACGCTCTTCGAGGAAAATGGACATTAGGGAGAATTGTTGAAGTTTTTCCTGGAACTGATAATAAGATCAGAAACGTGACAGTAAAGACGGCAAATTCAGAGTATAGAAGGCCAATAAACAAAGTGGTCGTATTATATCCAGCAGAAGGATACGAAGAGTAGATTGAACCGAAATATGTCTGTCTATAGTATTCACAGAATAACAAATTTATTCACTTTCTATGTTCTTGTTCAAAATCAACTTTTTCCAGCTTTAAGAAGATAGATGATAACAAAGCTTTGTTGGTGCAAATTTCAATTTTTGCTATTGTTACATGGGAATTGACTTTTGGCACAGTTCACACTGAGAACAAAATTCAACAGTTTGAAATTATGTACAAAGTTTAGTACATTTTGAATACATTTTTTGTATTTGAAATTTTGAGTGATATTTGCCATTTATTAGCAAATTCAGCAAAGAAAGTTTGCAGAGAAAAGTTGATTTTTATGATTATGTATACAGGAAGCAAACTGGTATGGAATATCCATTCGATATTTTTGGACAGGAAATGTAAATTTGTGTATTTTCTTGCAACAATTGTTTTTTCAGGTTCGTGCAGGCTTGCAGATACCTTTTCATTAGCCTTGCTAATAGTTTGGATGGTAATTTAGACTGTTCAAGTGTTAATTACGTAGAGTGAGAAGAAGTATTTTTCACATCTTAGCTATGAGTCATTTACAGATTTTGGAGTGAAACACTGAAGAAAGTATTTTGTTCTATTTTTAAATGAGAAACATTGCGTACTTTTATGAAAATGATGTCAATTTTATTGTTGCCCTCATTGGGGGGAGGTTGTTTCAGCGAAACATGAAAGTTATTTGTTTTTTCCAAGATTTTTGCAAGATACCGTATTGACCCTGACCTACTTCTAGGGTCAAGTAAGTGTATACGTTGCAGAGCACATTTTTCCACGGATGTGGTCTGACATATCATTTCAGATGCTTATTTAGAGGCCAGAATTCCAGGTTTAGGAAAATGGCAACGGTATTTCAGAGTCGCTAGCAATTTCCGCAAAACAAGTTGAATTGTTGGTACGCTCAAAAAATGAAGACAGGACTAGGTTTCCGCTTGGTTGTATATGAACTCAACGATATGCCAGTTGAGCTATTTTATTCAACCTGAAAGGAGAATAAAAAATAAGCATCCTCAGTATACATGTCTATAACACATAAAATGTACTGAACTAAATCAGTATGCATTTATCCGGTAATGTATAATCAAAAGCCTTATTAAGCATATATTTAAAGGTAGTCTTGACTAGGAATTTATCTAGGCTGAGGACCTTGGTTACTCGGGTTTTTATGAAAGCAGTATTTCTGTCAAGATATGTTATTTTGACATAGAGTTTAATGGGGGTTTAGGCCTTTTAGAGAGTTTTTGGATATAGAGTCAAGACTTTTAATGAATGCTATTTAAGGCTTTTGATTATACATTACCGGATAAATGCATACTGATTTAGTTCAGTACATTTTATGTGTTATAGACATGTATACTGAGGATGCTTATTTTTTATTCTCCTTTCAGGTTGAATAAAATAGCTCAACTGGCATATCGTTGAGTTCATATACAACCAAGCGGAAACCTAGTCCTGTCTTCATTTTTTGAGCGTACCACATATGTTTTGAAAAATGAAGAAAAAAACCTTTCATTTTCACCGTTAGACACGCTTCCACATTTCTTTCACATATACTCACATGATTTGCAAAAAATGTTAGACAAATAACCTTGTTTGAGCGTGGCAAGGAAGCAATGCACAGCCTGATTAACAATGAATGAACGGATATTTTTTTCCCGCCTCCTGGAGCATGTGACACGACTTCTGCCGGCATATAAGATGAACTTTGTACCGAACCAAGTGGGCCGCCTAGGGGCAATCTACTAGTTTTACTACGTCACTTGTATGAAATGCTTTCAATTGAACAAAACAACAACACGCTCTTTTAAAGCCCTATAATTATGGTCTTCGCAATTTACGATCTAAACAATTCATGAAACCTCGGATGAGGGCCAGGATGACAAATTCCTTATTATGAATAGAATGTAACTGATGTATTTGATCAAACGGACCATATATTTCGTTATCGCAAAAGAAGGCACGTGAGAATCATTGTACGACCAGGGACTTGGGAGACACTAAGAGTAATCAAGCCAGTTGGACACACTTCTGGCATAACCATCCATGTACAAACGTGTTACATGATTGTACATCTCTCTCTCTCCTAATCTCTCTTTCTTTCTACCCAAGATCTCTGGTATCATCTATTCTCCTTCTTTGTTAATGTTTATGTCTGAGAGCACTGAGGATACGACTCTGCTCCAATTTCAATCATATTCATGGTTTTCATGAAACAGACTTACAAATAACGTTAACAACCGCAACCACTGTCAACAACACCCACACAAAACTAAAAAACAATGAATATTCCCGATAAATGTCACAAGTATTATGTTTTTATATCCCAGTCCGTTTTTCGAAAATGATTGTTTACGTGGAATGCCCCCACCCCTTTGTTTACGCTAGTGTGAGTAAAGCCTTATATATCAATAATAAACTATGACTTTTTTTCTTTGCTCTCAGGAAATTGTAAAATTATGTAATAACCACCATCTTTTAAGACACCAACGCAAATATAGATTAATAAAATAGTTGTGTAATAAATCACCTTCCTTTAAGACACCAATAAAAATGTAGATTATTATGATAAATTCTTAGTATTTGTCGTGAATATTCAGCGAAAAGCGTTCACTTCATGTGGGCCCTTTGGTTTTAATAATCATCTATCTATGCCGCTCGCGTCTTATTTTTTCGTACCACGGCGAGGCCGGATTCCTGTTTTATCATGAATATTCATTAGGCAGGGTCGGGGAAAGTCTCGATTCTCTTAAATATTCATATCGAGGTGGGAATGCACGACGCGCGCTATACTCGCACAAAGTGAGAAGATTTAGTTCACGGAGAATGCATATGGGTGAGTAATTGATTGAAATATCAGTAGATTAAGAGAATTTAGTCATTAATTTGAAAAAGCTGTAATTCGTGATCTACTGTAATTTCTTTACATTTTGAGACTGTTCTCAACAGATTTGTGGGGAAAAGGCTAGGAAAATATTTCTCTTGAAATTGCACTTTGATTTTCATCGTCGTGAAGTAGTTTGACTGCGGTTTGCCTTCATGTCACCCTTTAGAGCCCCGGGGTTCCGGCAGGCCCACGTTGGGGGAATTTCGGTGCTCATCTGCATCAAGATAAAACTTTCTGATCAGGTTTTATTCCAAATTTGATCGTCATCGTGAATCTAATTGACCAATCATCCATTGAATTTAAATCTAGATTTAACGTTACACCTTAAAATAATCTATGAAGTATGATTTCTTTAATAATCCAAGAGGGTTAATTCTTGTTTATATCTTTAGTAGATGTCGACTCTGTTGGCTATACTAGTAAGACTAAGTGCTATCCGTTCGCTCAGTTGCATCATTGGTGCGTGTCAACTTTTAGACCAAAATTGTTTGTGACCATGGATAATCAAACGGCTCCAAACCATATTTCATTTAGACGTAAACCTGGAACTTATTAATAAAAATATTCAAAAACAAACAAACTAGACCTAGGATTCATTTATTTAATGTTCAGATGTTGTGTGTGTCCAGTGTGCTTGTCAAGTTGTCATAACTTTTCTAGATCTAGATCTAGACCTATATTAAAGATTTTTTCTTCTCCAAAGTGTGCAGTTCATTTGATAAATCTATTTTTTGTTGGACGTTGTATAAGAGAAGACCCCTAGGGTAGTCGACAATTATGTTTACTTATACGCAGAGGCGGCAGAGCCTTTGGGCGGAGCAAGTTCCAAAGTGGGGGGGGGGGGCACCAACAAAAAGGGCACTTTCTTGAAAAAAGGGCACCTTCAGAGGGAAAATATACCATTTTTTTGACATTGGTATATACCCCTATTTTGTGATTACATTATCAGGGATGATTTCAATATTTGTTTCTCTTAATACAGCATTTAAGATATTGCTTAAGTATCATACTTTGCAGTTTTTGGCTTGCAGTGCGAAAAATTACATCTTATAAAGAGGAAAACCCAATCCTGATGGGGTTATATAAGCACAATCTCATAACGGAAGACTGAATAGATCTGTGATAAGTTACATAATTATAACATCTATAACTATGGGCAAGCGTAGCGAGCGAGCTTTGTGGGAAATTGCTTTTAGTCGCTTGAAATTAGGGACACGTTTAATGATGAGAGGAAAAGGGGACACTTATCGAAAGGGTTAAGACACTTATCAGAAAAGAAAAGAAGCATGTGTCAAAGTACAAAGGCTAATTATCAGAGGTGAAAATGGGGCACTTCTTACACCTAAACAAAGAGGCATGCACCAGGGATGATAAGAACATGGGCATTTGTCGACGGAAAAGAGGCACCCATCAGATTTTGATAGGGGGCATTTATAAGCAGTGAAAAGGGGCATTTATGAAAAAGGGACAGGTTCTTTATAAGAAAGGAAATAGGGAACATATCATTGTTAAAAGGGTAATGAGAAGGGGAAGTGGCTCTTATTAAAAAGAAAAAGTGGCACATGTTTAAATAAACGGGGCACTTATCAAAGACGAAAAGTGGTACCGGTAATTATGATAAGGGGTAAGGGTGCTTATAAGGAAAAAAGGCATTATATAGGAAGGAAAAGGAGGACGTGTCAAAATAAAAGGGGCATTTATAAGAGATGAAAAGAGTACTGACTAGGAGGGGAAGGGGTGCTTGTCAAAGTAAAACAAGTATCTCTCAGAAGTGAATAGGGTCATTTACAAGAGATGAAAAGGGGCACTTAAGAGAATGAAAAGGAACTATTTTCATAGATGAAAAGGGGCATTTATGAGAAGGGAAAGGGCCTATTTTTAAATGGGGGCACTTATAAGAAAAAGGGGCACTTATTAAAAATGAAAGGGAGCACATGTGAAGATATAAGGTGCGCTTATCCAAGTTAAAAGGGGTAGTTATTAAAAGGGGAAGGGGCACTTTAAAAACTTAATAGGGGCACTTGTCAGAGTAAAAGGGGCACTTTCCTATGTAAAAAGGGGCACTTTTCCTATGCAAAAAGGGGCACTTTTAGGGTACTTGACCAAATGGGAGGGCACTCTGCCCCCCCCCCCTCTCGGAGCGCCGCCTCTGCTTATATGGTATGTAGTCCACCTCTTCTTGTTATAATAAACTAATTCTACTTAGTACTGCTTCGTGTTCATAGGCCATAGAAACCACTGTTTGATGCACAAGTTAAATCTTCCATTTAGTTTTACTTTGTACTGTGGTTCATTAAATAGGAATGTTGATTTCCACACCATATTAAAATTAAGGCCAACCATGACATAAAAATATCTATTAATTTGAATTATGCTAGATCTATTTTATTTTGTTAAGGAGAAAGGGATGCCTTGATTGTCGTATTGATTTTCTTCTTCTTTTTGTTCCAAAAGATTGAAACTGAAGAGCTGGAAGGAGGACATTACAACATCTCTTATATTTGCAAGATGAAGCAGAAAGTCCCATGCAGGTACAGTTATCAGGTTATTTAGCACACACATATTAAACGACCACCTATTAATTCACTCAAAAGGAAATGGAACTAAGTTGACATTGCAAGCATATATAGTGGAGGGTATATTTTATTCTAGTTCTGCACCTAGTATACAAATATTGATGTCTTTTCTTTCTATGTTTACAAAGGAAAATTTGTCCTTATTTACAGGAGGTCCTGTGTTTAGAAGAGCCATATCAAATGTACATTGTAAGCACTACATGTAGGGTATACACAGGACCCCTCATTATTTTTTTTTGTAAGGGGTACTTTCACTTCTTGAGCAATGAAGATGAAGAAGAACACAAAATAAGATTGATAAAAGTCTGTTTATAGGATTTATTATGGTTGATATGTATCCATCAGTATCAGTTTTTAATTGAAGTACATGTACCTACTTTGTTTTATCTCATGTAGGATGATGCCTCTCTACCGTGGATGATGAAGGCATTCTGGTTTGCAAACTCAGGAGAGGAACAAAGAACAGATGTTGACGGGATCATATCTAGAGATGCGGGCCTACTACACTTCATACGAGCATGTGTGCTAATATACATGAAGGTACCCCCAATAAATTTTTGTGGAACAAATGTCATGGAGAAAATTATAGATCTGAAACAGATATTTTTCATTGTCAGTTGACTTGTAAAAGAATAATTGACTTAATATCAAAATTGTAATTTAGATTAAAAATTAAATGTCAATATAGATGAAATATAAGTCTACATTACGTATGTTTCAGTAGCATTATTTCCAGTACATTCTCTGGTCAAAGTTGTTTGGTCATTTTATGTCCCATACTTAACCGAGTATTATTCAATTACCGGTATGAGCACGAGTTGTATTACATTGTATTACTTATTTCACACCTTGTCTGATCCGAGCTCCAGCAGGCCTATCGTCTTAATGGGATCATCAGTAATAATTTAAGATGCGGTCAGTATTTAAACTAGTCTTGTACAAAAAATAGTTTAGGTTTGCCCACTAGAACCCCAAGTGAATTTCAGTCCTTCCTTTTTCTGAGCAGGTATCAGGGTGTATGTTATTAGTCATTGTTGATTGTTTTATATCTTATTTCATTTTTCCATTCAACAGACTTGGGTTATATTTTTTCTGAAAACTAGGCTACAACTTTAGTGATGGATGCAGAAGATATCTACACGAGACTACGTCTTAAAGATGCCACCCTCATATAATGAAAGAGGACAATAGAGATGGGTTTAAACTGGAATATTTACATGATATTTATTTGTTATTTGTATTATATGTTTGTAGAATACTACATTCAATAAAGCTAATGAAGTTTATCATCTTGTCGACTTTCAAATAATTAAAGATAACTCAACGAATAAACATTAAAATTCTAACAATGTCAACTACCATCTTATAGGATGAAACTGAGGACTGGGCATAAAGATTCTCCTTCAAATTTGATTGATAAAGGTCTATCAGTCTATATCAAAGATTGAATTAATCAATGATATTTTGATTATAATTATACATGTTAAAATTCATTTACCTCTATGGACTTCTGTATGGGAAGTTTTGTAGATTATGAAATTATTGCTACTTCAAGTATTGTATGTAAGAAGGTTTGAAAGACAACACTCTAAATGCATTAAATATGGAAACTGCTAATCCTCATTGCCTTTCGTATCCAAACTGGTAGCTTTCATAGAATCATGTTTCGATGCTTCCCAACTAAAGAAAACAGGGAGTGGGGGGGGGGGGGGGCTTGCTATCCTCTTATCTTATCCTCTGTACAAATATGATTATATGTTTATATTAGAAGGATTTAGAAAGTGAAATTTTGAATTATAGCATTACTGTTGGTAGAAGTAATGGCAGTGTCGGGAGGGGGGGGGGGGGGTTCCTGGTGAAATTTACGGTATGCCAATGTCAAATTAATAAAAAAGAGAAAACTATTCTTAATAATAAAAATTATACAGTACATGGGCCTCCTAACAAAAACCCTGGTACCACTGTTGTGTTTTGAGTGTGTTTTTTTTTTTTTGGGGGGGGGGGGGGGGGCTGGCAAACCAATTACAAATTTCCAGTGTTAAATTCAAATTTTTTCTTTAACAAAATTATGTCAATATATTGTAATTAAACAATGTTTTACTTTCCTTTTTTTCAAGTTAGATATTTGAATAAAATGATTAACATACTTTCCGGTTTCTCTGGCCTCTACATTAAAAATGTTCTACTTCTAGCAAAGCTCCTGGAAAGGCCGCAAAAAGGGAGAGTGAAGAGAATGAAATTGAAATGTGGACAGTAATGGAGTGAATATGGAATGGTTGATGGTAGTTGATAACGAGTGAATGCAAATGAGTGGCAACAAGTACGACTGAAAGTGAGACAGAAAGGAATTGCAACAGGTTGCTCAGTCAAGAGAACAAACCTTTCAGAAGATAGTTTTCGAAAGACAGAGAAAGAGAGAAAAGGGGAATTATAAAAAAAAAGGAAAAGGGGGCATGTGTCAAAGGGGCATTTATGAGAAAGGGTTGGGTTTGGGGCTCCTATTAAACAGGGAAAGGGGCACATATCAAAAGGTAAAAGGGCACTTGTTAGAAAGTTTAAGGGGACGCGTGTCAAAGTAAAAAAAATGAAAGGGCTTTTATCAGATATCACAAGGGGCACTTATGAAAATGGAACAGTGGCACTTATTATGAGGTTAAAGGGGCATTTGTTGAAGAAAAAGGGGCACCTGTCAGATTTGAATAGTGGGTAATTATCGCCAGGGCCGTAGCCAGAGTTTGGGGGGGGGGGGGCACATACATGTAATTGATCGATGTCCTGGGGAGGGGTCAAAAAGAGTTCAACCGATCTTGGATTTTTTTTCTTCTTTTTTTTTTCTTCAATGTATGTGAAAGAATGTGTAGTTTTCTCTCGAGTTTGTCTCATCATGCGTGGGATCTGTGGGTGCTGGGGTTCCTGCAGCAACCCTGTACATGGATTTTCTTCAGTGGGTGCATATAACCCGTGGACTTCACATTGTAAACCTTCAAATGATGAATTATCATCGAGTCCCCCACCCCCCCCCCCCTTCCCTCATTATTTTAGAAAGAAACCAAAGAGAAATTTTAAGAGAAAAAGAGAAAGGAAAGGAAAAAATGGTAGCTAGGCCTAAACAAAAACAAGAGGCAAGATAAAAGAAAACAAGATTGAAGATATGGTATCAATATTATCTTGCTCCTTTCCCTTTTTCTTTTGTCTTCTTTTCATTTCAATTTTCTTGCAATTTATTTCTTTCTTCCTTGGTATCTATTCCGTATTCTTTATTTCTTCCATTCATTTATTATTTATATATATTTTACTTTTTAACTTTGTTATTCTTCTTTCTAATCCCATTTTTCTTTCTTCCTTTTCTTCCTTATGCAGTTAAGTGAGCATAGATCATAGAAATAATTTAAGTGCAATACACAAGTATTTTATTTTTGATAAATGTCTGTATGTAGGCCTATTCTTGTTATCTATTTTATACAGTTTATAATACTGTATCACATATTCAATACCATAATGCAACCTCTGCTTGTAATATTTAAAAAGCAAACCTAGAACTGATTATTTACAATTCATGAAAAGAACTAGACTCCCATTAATCTCAGAAAAGTAGGCCTAGGCTACTCACAAATTGCCTATCAAGACTCTTACTTGAAATATATGCTATATATCTTGTCTACCGATACTGACATTTTGGCATTTACTAGTAATTAAACACAGCATTTATGACTGTATTATCTAAATGACCATGACATTGCTTTTCTATGTCATATTATAGGCCTGCCATTAATCCAACGTACTTGTTACACACGATATTCGATGCTGCGCATGCCTCGATCATACATGAATATTCAAGAGAATCGAGACTTTCCCCGGCCCTGCCTAATGAATATTCATGATAAAACAGGAATCCGGGCTCGCCGTGGTACGAAAAAATAAGACGCATGCCGCTCATCGATCTACTCCGTTGCTACATATTGGTGGGTTGACAGCATCATGAGTGTACGCTTTGACGCGCGCCTTTCTGTCGTCATGCGTGTGTTGTAGGAATTGAATCATAAGACGTTTATATGGGAAATCCCAACCCGTAGAGTTCGCTGTTGAATACACCATTAGCGTCACTTGTATAAAGATGGCGGTCCGATGTATACAGATGCTATGCATTTCATACAATGTATGCATGATACTTCATGTTTGTTCGCTACAGGGTAAGTCTACTCTAATTGAGATGCAATATATCTGCATGTTTATATTAGGTTCGAGCTGTCATAGAAATGCTGAATGTACAATTTATCCACAAGTCCTTTCTCGTCATTCGCTATATAATAATAGCGATACTTTAGCAATTAAAGGTACGTAGGCCTACATACTAACAGATAACGGAAGGAAATACTGCTATTATATCCGGTGCGTTAGTCTGATGAAATAAAAGACTTTATGGATGGTGGGGATATTATAGGAGGGACATGAACCTGATCATATTAATGCAGGGTCATGATTGACACATGAATCTATAAATAGCCTCTCGTTTGACCTTAAAGGGATCGTTGAGTTCTGTTGCAAAGGGCGCTACACAAACAAAATGTGTGTGTGAGATGATGAAAGACCGAGTGTCAAATTTGAAATCATCGTTTTTTGATTAAAATCGGTTCAGAGACGGCTGTAATATAACGATTCCTAATAGTTGTGTACCACCACAAATATTAGATATTTTGAAAAAATTGAAAAAAACGTTGAAAAAACGAAATAGCGCCTTTTACGTCGCATTTCAGCCAATGCCGATGTTGCTTATATTACCCACAATTAGCCAGCTCATGTATTGTAATTTGTAAATAAATATTTAATTAACAGTCACTGTGTCTTTTTAAAAGTGGAGCTGAATTAGTATGATCATATTGGCTAAATTTCACACATTTTGGGGTCTAAAATTTCCTTAATAGCAATTTTAGATTCTAAAAGGGCACTATAAATGTCATAGATAAGAATAAAATCAATAACCATGCACTTTGAAGGCATTTGCGGTCTGAAAACAGAACTCAACTATCCCTTTAAATTAAAATAACAACACCCTGGGTGCGTTGGTTGCGATATCCGGAAAAATGGGTGGAACTATTCAAATGAAGTTCTGCAAAGAATATTAATACTTCTAAATATTGAATATTGACACTTGCATAAGTAGTTTTTAACGACAAGGAATTTAAATCTAATAAATGCTCTTCAAATTTGATTTCAGTCTCCTTTGATTTGTCACCCAAAGTGAGTTATTCTTGTCACTGAAATATTAAACATCTAAGTTTTGCATGTTATTGCTGTATGCATTTGTTTTCCTCTTTAAGGTCATACAAAGTTTTGGGAAATTTTAAAAATTGGGTGGAAATTGATTCTTTACAATTTTGATATATTTTGATGCCTCTGTGGATTTATTATAAGCACTAGAAAATTCAGCCCCTAAAACACTTCCGCTGTCGAGAAAAATTGAATATAAAAATTCACCGGTGCTCCCAGTAAATTTTGATGAATTTCAAATGGCGCCTACGGCCGTACAATTGGAGCTGCGACCATTAAAATCTCAGAATATGTAGTTGTGATATAAATTTCCAAACGGGAATTGGTGATTGGTCGATTTTAGTCAAGAAACATTGTTTTATAGCTTAATTAATATCTTGACCTGAAACTATGCAACATAAGGAGTTTATTATTTTACATTTCATAACTTTAGACTCGATTTCAACCGCGACAACGATCACTGTATATTGTAGGATCGCATATGCTTCCAATATGTTCATTTGAACCAAACCCATGAACCCATACCAAAAATGTGTAGTACCTTTAATAATGTAGGCAGAGCCCTGTTGTATACTAGCATTGTTATATATTTTTAACGTTTATTTTTAATGCATATTAAACAATGTCTTATCTTAAAATTGTTCTTGTGTAATTATTTGCCCGCTGAACAGGCTTATCTGTGTAAAGAAATGATTTAAATGAATGAAATAAAAAGAAATAAACATGTTCGCCAAATCTTAATAAATGTTGCCTACTGTTTGGGTTCGCCAGGTGTATAATCTTACTGCAGTATATAGGGTATATCGTCTAATGTAGACTGAACACTAATGAAAGTGAAAGTGAGTACACACGGAAATTGTCGAAGAGAGTGCTTCCTTTACTGTATTTTGTTTTTAACAATACCACTGCTGGCCTGGTGACAGAGGGTGATAAATTTTATCCTGACACTACATAATTCTAATAGAATGATATTTCTTTTGAATTTGATATATTTTGTTAATTGCTATCTTGTCAAGCACACATTCCTGTGAATTAATGGTTACGTTCAGTTACCTTAGTATGATCTAGAATGAATAGTTTCGCCAACTAGTTTGTTTTTTATGTTTATTTTCCCCCTTCACTTTTAAACAAATAGCACTAGCATTAAACATGTCTATCAACAGAATTAGGTTTAATGTTCTAAGCAAGAAAGCGTCCATGTACTTTGTGTTTGTGAGAATAATCACTGCCAAGTAAAATGACTAAAGAGATGGGAGGCTTATAGCTTCATAATTACAACGATACATATCGAAAATATATCTAACTCTAGATTACAAATGTACATCAAGGTATTTGTTTCCTATTCTGCTACACGACACGATGCATTTAAGAACCTTTGATACTGTTTAGTGTCAGTGCAAATTAATTTTCAGGTGGATCATCTCTATGCGGTTTCTTTGCAAGTAAGCTATTGCTTGGCTTAATGGAATTGCCTTATTACGTCACGAATTACATAAACCACAGTTTATATATAAGTATTTCCTTTTTTGTTAATGCAGGTGTGAATTGTGATGTACCAGATGGCGTTGTATATACCGACTTACACAAAACTGCACAGAAAGGAGATGAGCTTGTTCTGAAATGCCAATTCTATGGTACGCCAATCGCCGTTTACTGGAAGAAAGGACATGACCCAACGAACTCACCCAACCTGATCACGTGGGTGGAAGGAGAATCCGCCTCCGGGTCATGCGTTCATGACGAATCTTGCAAGATGAACGCTACCTTCTCTCTCATCATCAGAAATATTACAGTTTCAGATCAAGGATCATATATCTGCAGAGTTTCAAACTACAAAGGGATCTTGATCCACAACTTTACAGAAGTAAGCGTCTTTGGTAAGTGTTTAATTATGTGTACATTTTACAGAATGACTGAGAACTACCCTAAATAGGATTATTTCCATAATGAAAACTGTTGGACATTTGCTCTTGGAAATTGCGTGCGCATACGTGTACGTCGCTACAACAACTACTACTACGAAATATGACATTGTTGCATGAATTCGACCATATCTTAAGTTACCATCAACGTTATAAATTGGGGCTAGTCGCATTTGAAAGGGGTGAATTTCTGCTATTTTGTGGAGTAAAAATTATTCATGGGGACCTTTTAACCTCTCTGCCTTTTGTTCTTGAATGTTGTTACGCATTCATTCTCTGAGACAGAAGTCTATGGCAGATGCCCCAATTTTGTGTTGATAAGTGTGTACGGTCATGCTCAAATATGGCTATAACATCTGAATGCGTCAACGTATCAAATTGGGGCGAGCAGATCTAGAGACTTCAAATCCTAAACTAAAGGCTGATGTCAAATTCATTGTCATTGGTCCAATAACCTATCTGCCTTTTTGTTTCAAAGGTTTTCACCAATTGTTGAAAAGCTCTGATAAATCGAAAACTAGCCAAGACGTAGTGGGAGATTCCATTATTGGTTTGAGGGGTAGCAGCATTATAACCATTCAATCCCCCGTCAGGAAACGACAGTAACTTGCGATAAGCCAATATTCAAGACCGAAATCATTTGAAAAGTGTTTGATTTCTTTAATTTTGGAGCATTATGTGAATCCTGCAGGAAAGATATTAGTTAAATAATGTTCTAAGTTTCATTAATTCAAGTATTACTCATAAATAAGAGATACAAAGGAAAAAATAGAGCTTTTTCTTCGCCATGCTCCGCAGTCAATCATGTTTTCATTCTCACGTCGCGTATATGTCGATCGCGATATGTGTACCTAATACGTACACTACAATGACTGTGGGTGCATGCTCTACGTGTAGTGACGTGTAAATTTGTGCTTGTAATGTTTGTGAGTAAAGTGATTGGGGAGTGATTGTGAGCCTGAACATGTCCAATGTATGAATACAACATATACCCAGGGCATATACATGAACGTGTGTGCTAGACGAGGCGAGGGATCGGGCTTTTAATAGTAATTACAACAAACACCCCTATTTACTGTAATGGAGCAGTCCAACTACTGCTCACTGAACCGCTGTAGCGTGATGAAGTAAACAAACGTTCTGGTGAATGCAACGGACGCGTAAGGGATTTTTTGTCAAAATCGGGCCTAAAGTTTTCATTATGTAACTATCTCCATGCTTTAGAACTATGCTACTGCTACATGTTAATCTAATAGTTGTAGAATATTTATTTAAACAAAAAACAAGACGAAAACAAAAGTATTACTATCATATTTAATATGAAATAACATTTACTTGTACTATTATATTAATTAATCAAATGAAACTGAAAGAAAAAGCTTTATGCCTCTCATTATAGTTTTTACCTCATGAAGATATTATGATTTTCTTTGATTGAAATTATAGTATACTTTTTCATTTTCAGCTCCTCCGATGGAACCCTTTCCACTTATCGATGAATGTCCAGGTAAACTTCCCAACGATGCTGAACAAACCTGTAGTCTTTCAACTGCTAATAGCATCATCATCACATGCTCAGCCTCAAGCTACTTTCCAGACATCGATCTCTTCTTCTTACACGAATCCAAAAGGATGGGCGCAACAACTATCAAGGAAGTTGCAAACATGGACGGGACGAAAAACAAATCAATCTTCACCTTAGCTGAACCCAGTGAAAGCCCCTATGTCTGCGTCGCTTCTGATATCCCAGGATCACAAGACCAAAGGACAGTGACTGTCACAGTGACCTTTCTAGGATCAACTGTTGCCATGACAACATCATCCAATCAAACCACTTTACCTCCGAATCAGCGTGGAGATGTAGCCAAAGTTGGTAAGAATTTACGACGATTTTTCTCTTTTTTGGTGTGGGGGTCTTTATATTCGACCCGTATTCAAGAGTTGATAGATAGTATACAACTGCTATCATCTCGAATATCAGTAAACATTATTCACACAAGGTACCTCTAAATGTGTTCGAAATCAAGGAACAAGCCGATGTTGTTTGGCCTGTTTCTGAAGGGACCGATGGTTGAGGTATCACATTTTAAGATAATGTGTAGTATTTTTTGTTGAAAAATGATAGCAGGAATCATTTTTTGTTGGCTGGGGGGGGGGGGGGGGGGGGGGAGGTGTCGCGCTCATAACAATGTCCGTAGGTCTGTGGTCGACCATTAACTTAAAATTAAAATAATTACCGACCAGTAAGGAGTAAATGCTATTGAAGAATGATTAGCATTTTTAATGAATGATTACTCATTAGCAAAAAATGTTTTATCACATGCCCGCCCTCAACAGTTTTTTGTTTTATTGTGACTATCACCTCCGATACAAGATGCAGATGATTCATGCGACTGAATAACAGGAGGACTCATCACATCAGTTTAGTAAACATGACATTGTAGTTGAAACGCCCATCATGCGAGAAAAGAGGACGACGAGATGTTTCATTTCCTGATCATATTTTTAATTCTATTTGCAGTTGTACCAATTATCGTTGTCATTCGTATATTGGCTGGGATTTGTGTTCCCATGGCCATCACATTTTGGTGTCGGAGAAAACGAATGATGAATAAAGGTATGTTTATATATACGAGTCGTCATTACTGGGTCGAGTTATTAACTCTTATCATCATCATCATCATCATCATCATCATTATCAGTATTTCAACAAAAAGAAAATACCTGATATGAAAAACGATTTATTTTTGTATACTGTAATATCGCATGAGGCAAAATAATTGTACAGTTATTTCAAATTTTGATGTACTATAGAAAAATAATAATGATAAAAGATATTTAATTTATATATCGCATGGTATTATACTTTCAATGCCCTTAACATGCCCCTGAGAAAAAAGACTTTTGACCGCAAAAATTCAATTGCAATTTCTCAGGTTGTTTTCCTCTAAAAGTTTTCACTTTCCGTACAGAAAAAGACGACGAGGAATCCATGCTACTACATCCAGACCCACAGATAAATGGTAACTCATTATATTTATCTAACATACACAAATTAAGAATTCCATTAATTTCTTGTAGATACACACACTAACTCACACACACGCGCACAATCGTGCACACATATACATACACACAGAACAAAAATACATACGCCCATATCCCCCTCCCACCTGCAGTCATAATCGCTAACAAGTTAATTTTGAAAATGTTACTAAGATTTTCCTCAAAATATCACTTTTATATATCAATACAGTTTATGTTATACTGGAATCCTAGCTTTTTCATCGAGGGTATTTCCTTTTTTAAAATTTGTTTCATTTTTTAATGCGATACAAATATTAGTTATGAAATTGATTGTTGACATTATTTCAATGTAAGTTTAATGAAATACCCTATGTTATTTTTAATGTAATTTCTGGTACGGCTATGCATAAATACTCAACAATTTGTGGGTTGTTATTATTTCTCTCAGGGAAAGTATCCTTCTTTGAACTATGGTACCTGGTTAATAACATGGATCAGACAAACTTGAATATCCTACGGGACGTCCTCGTCGATCTTGTTATTCCTGTGGTCAATGAAGAACTAACCAAAAAAGAGGCCTACGACCTGCTCTGTCACTGGAAGGATGCAAATACACTTGACAATGAAGGAATGATGCTGAAGAGTGTATTAAACGGATATGGACTTGAACATTCTTGGAAAGAGATGTGTGGTGGGTATTGATTCACTTCTACATGTAAAGATCCACAGTGTACCGGGTTTATCTATTTGTTTTTTTTTTGGTGTTCGTTTTGTTTTTACAGGGTGGTGCTTTTAGGTTGTAATTGATAAACAAAACAACACTTTTTTTTTAATTAGCCAGGCAGTATCATTGGACAATTAAATACCATTGATTGAAAGATCTGTAAAGAAAAGATGAGGAAAAGTAGATTAAAAACAATAGGTACCATTTCCAATTAATATACTTTGAGGTATGTATATATTTTACGTAAAGAGAACGCGTGAACATATATGCGTCTTAAGCTATAGTCACAAATCAGAGCGGCAACCGACTGATTAGCTCGGTCGCCGCCGGAATTTAGGCATCGCCCAACGATTTTTGGAGAATTTGAGCAGGCTGTAGAGCCCTAGCGATGCATGGGCGGTGGCCTGTCGATTTTCCGTCGGCCGCCGGTCGATTTTAGGTCATAACTGGACGAAATCGGGGAGCTTCTCCCGGAAGTGGCCTACTGATGACCCACCGATTCCCGAGCGGTCTTCCACCGGCCACCGGCTGATTTTAAAGAAATTGCCAGGCGGCCGGCCGGTGATCGGCGGGGCACCAAGATACGCTCGGTGCCCGGGCGTTAACCGCCCGGATACCGACCCAATCGAGCATTCGCCGTCGAGCGATTTAGGTCAAAAATCGAATCCGCTAGGTCAAAGGCTGCCGACCGATTTTCGACTCGCCGCCCAGTGACCGACTGATCTCCCAGCGGTAACCGTGCAGTGGCCGGGCGTCGATTCCTCGGCAGCCTTTGACCTAGCGGCTTCGATTGTTGACCTTAATCGCTCGACTGCGAACGCTCGATCATATTGCTCCGATTGTCTCATTTTCGCTCGCTGGATCACTGCAGCACAAACATAGCTCGTTCGACGTCACTACCAAACTAGCCAATCAGCTGTCAATGACGTCATATTGAATGTGGCGGCAAATATATTTTGTGAAATTATCGAGAAATTGACTATTTCTAATTGCAAACTAGTTTTATTTTTGGATGAAAACGCAGCCATTGTTATCTTGAAATTCATTGAAGTCATCAGAATAGGGTAAGTTACGTTTTAGATGATTCAAGAGGTCTATTTCGTAGATAAATTTTCAATTTCTTAGAATGTTCCACTGTGTTGCAGGGTACCGGGTGTATGCCATTGGGTGTGATGTGTTCGCGCGCAATGGCGCGAATTATACATTCTTCTTCTTCTTCTTCGCTATAAGTACAGGCCACCACGCCGTCGGGTGTGAACATTCCTTTCCTTCTCAATACAATAACTTTCACCTGCCTAAGTTATTCAAACCATACGGAATCGTGGCGTCTCGCCACTTCCATTACGTAATCATTAAAAGGATCCGCATATACAACATTTTCCTGCTATACGTTAAATTGTACCACAGGAAAATACAAATCTCCCTGGTTCAATGGTATACCATTGGTATACCATTGGTATACCATTCGGAAGTACCACTGAAAATACCATACAGATACTATTCACAAACACCATTTAAATACCATTCGGATACCATTGAGATTACGCTCGCTACGCTTGAATGGGAACCATTCATCTACCATTGAAATACCATTCAACCTAATAATATTTTTTTGGACGCTCATTTGCATAATCACCAATGGTAGATGAATGGTACTATTTACACTATTGAAATATGCAAATGAATGGCGAATGGTAGGCCAATGGTGGATGTTGAATGGTAGGCCAATGGTGGATGTTGAATGGTAGGCCAATGGTGGATGGTGAATGGTAGGCCAATCTACCCTTCACCATTGGCCTACCATTCACCATCCACCATTGGCCTACCATTCAACATCCACCACTGGCCTACCATCCACCATTGGCCTACCATGCCAATGGTGAATGGTAGATTAATGTTACAAAATTTGCATATTTCATATTCAAAATTTCAATTCTACCATTGGTGATTATGCAAATGAGCGTCCACAAATTATTATTAGGTTGAATGGTATTTCACTGGTAGATGGATGGTGCCCAATGGTATGTTGCGAGCGTAATCTCAATGGTAACGGAATGGTATTTAAATGGTGTTTATGAATGGTATCCGTATGGTATTTTCAGTGGTACTTCCAAATGGTATTTAAATGGTGTTTGTGAATGGTATCCGTATGGTAGTTTCAGTGGTACTTCCGAATTTGTTTGTAAGGGCAGCTTCATTAATAATTATTAATTGTTTACGATCAGATAAATATCTTGATAAAAGTTTTAAAGGTGTGCCCCTAATACTGTAAAATTTCACATTTTTGTAATAAAATAGAATGATTTATAATTGCTGCTTTAACAATAACAGATGTTCATGTAAGCAAATGTATAATAATGTACATCACAGAGTCATATGAGTGAGACCACAGGCATAAAACAGCTGTTACTCACGGTAAAGAGACACATATCAGATCCAAAATTACTCCAAATTGAAGAAAAAACTAAAGATCCATCATTGTTCCTGAGGATTAGGGTATTATTCCTTGCAGTTTGTCAGCTTTGAAACGTTGATCATGAAGAAAAATTCGCGAACAATAAAGCGAAATCACAGAGTAAATTGTAGTTCAAAGTATAAGGGACTCCTAGTTTTCTCAAAGTCACTACCAGTGAAACACCATTGACCATACAATTCCACCATTGAAACACCATTGACCATACAATTCCACCATTGAAACACCATTCACCATACAGACTCTACCATTGAAACACCATTCACAAATACAGACGCCACCATCGAAACACCATTCACCATACAGACGCCACCATCGAAACACCATTCACCATACAATTCCACCATTGAAACACCATTCACCATACAGACTGTACTATTGAAACACCATTCACCATCATACACCACCATTGAAACACCATTCACCATACAGAATCCACCATTGGTATACCATTTACCATACAATTCCACCGTTGAAACACCATTCACCATACAGACGCCACCATTGAAACACCATTGACCATACAATTCCACTATTGAAACACCATCCACCATACAATTCCACCATTGAAACACCATTCACCATACAGACTCGACCATTGAAACACCATTCACCATACAGACTCTACCATTGAAACACCATTGACCATACAGTTCCACCAATGAAACACCATTCACCATACAGACTCTACCATTGAAACACCATTCACCATCATACACCACCATTGAAACACCATTCACCATTCAGAATCTACCATTGGCACACCATTGAAATACCATTTACCATTGATGCTACTATTCAAATACCATTCATTTACCATTAGTTTTTTTTTTGTAAGGGACCTAATACAGTCCAAACGATGAATATGTGCCTTAAACGAAGCAGGCGACAATCGGCGTAGCAGACGACACTTGATAGTAATTTTGTATGTGAGATTGCTTTGCTAAGTATAAATTACTTTGTTAATAAATATCAACTAACAATTCTTTTACATATCTTTAAAACATCACTGATATTTAATAATTCATGAGTGAGTAAAGGAAACATACAAAACTATATAATGATATGAAATACTTGGTGGCAATTAGGGGAGTTTGACGTGATGACCGATTTCACCCCTCTGTTAATAACCGAATAGTCCATGGTGTGTCATGAATATTCATGTTTTTGCTTACCTCGGCTAAATGTTTGCTTTTACCAAATGGAAAAATTACGGTGGGGGGGGGGGGGGGGGGGGTGGATGAAATGGACATAATGAACATAGCAGAAGTGATAATTGATAATTCATGCTTCTTATCCTTCGTGTGCTTGAGTCCAAAGTTCGACTTGTTTCACATGTGTACTATAGGCAATGGCGAGCTTGCAACCTATTTTGAAAAATTACGGTGGGTGAACTTTCAAAAGTCAATGAGACATGAGGGCTCCAATGAAAGAGCTAGTGATGACGTACGTCGGGTGGATGTGCTTTTCGTTTAAACCAAAAAAAATAGAATTTTTAACGATTTAAAAAAAAAACGTCTATAGGCTAACATGTTAGGCTGCTGACTCTGACGATAGGGGGCGTTGTGAAATGAGACTAAACGGAGCAATATGTAGGTCGGTGCCCGGGCGGCGACCGCCCAGGCACCAAACGTACTTTGAGCGGCAAGTGAAAGTGAGCAGGCGCCACCCGAATTTTAACTTAGCGCTAAAACTTCAGCAGCGACCGAGCGACGCCCTAAAAACAAGCGGTGCCCGGAAGAAATTGGCCCCAAATTCGCCGCCCGGCTGCCGAGCAGGCTAGCTTTAGGTGTTGTGACCATAGCTTTAGGGAATTCTGTAAAACATGTAAAATGATAAGTTTCAATGATCTTTACAGAATATTTAAGATTATGATTGAGATATTGTTCTTTTTTTTTTTTAGAACGGCGACATGATACAACGTCGACGGTTTCTGAAGAACTTTTTGATCATGTTTTACGGAGCATTGGTTGTGAAACAAAGATTTGCCAATTCATTCGTGAACTGATCACCGAGGAACCTAAAACCCCACCCAATGTGTCAGGAAATAGAAGGGACGTTACCGAGGAATCTATGGTTGTATTGAGGGAATGGCGTGACCGAGAACAGACTGTAAGCCAAATCATTCAAATATGTTTAGCTCTAGAAAGAGCCAAGTGCCAGCCAGAAGACCGGACTTTTTTTAAGGGTGAGTTCCATGTTTCATTTCGAAGGTTTAAAATGATGCTATTTACTTGTAAGGAAATGATTGTGTCTGTATCTTGCGAAATTAAATTTGTCTTGTCCTTCCACCAAGATAACGATTAGTACTCAATTTGGTTTAAGGTTAAATTGTTACGCTCTGGGGTTTATTAAAACACTTGAGGGACAATACAAGATGGACAAAACCTGGAAAAAGGGTCGTGTTATCTTATTATCATGTTCTTACTCTTTTTTTTATGCTTTGCACTCTGACAATGAAGCAACCTTGTATCCGATAATAGCTGCTCCTCTGGGTGTCCGTGCTATTATCTTTGGTTGATATTACTTTAACCCGTCTTCTATTGAATTCTCTCTTTCCGTGGGCATACTACAGGAGCCACTCGGTTTCTGTAGGCAATGGGTTACATTTAATTAACGTCTCACTTATTAACGCATTTTCGAGACATCTGGTTATTTACATACATTGGACAAAATGTGAGGGACCTAACCAGGAAGATGGGTTGTTTTTATCTAATTTTCATGTTCTTTATAATGTTATTATAATTATTGTAGTCATACATAAATATTTATACAATATAAACACTGGACATTTCGCAGCTTCTTATAATTTTGTTGTTCTTTTAGTTGCTGATCATCTCCTGAAGGTGATATCCCCACAAGAGGTAGAAGGCTTCGTCTATAGACTGGCAGGAAGACATTGCAAGAGGCTTGCTGAGTCCTTAAGAATCACGGATCAGAATATAATTGCCACCATCATGGATGAAAACATCGAAGATCTTTTTCTCATTCAGTCAATGGTCATGGACTGGGTAGACGGACAGGACTGCTGCAACTACGACAAGAGATGCAGGCTTGATGATGCCACCATCAAAATTGGCCGCCATGATATTACGGGTAATGGTTAGATTAAATAATAAATCTAAACTTGGCTTTTGACAAGTATGTCTGTATAGTTATTATTGACATTCAAGTACGTTATTTCTGTTTCTGTTTTCCCAGATTCATTTGGGACAACCAGCTTCCGAGTTGAAACAGGAGGTATTCTTGAACGACCACATCCTGATGCCAAGACTTTCAGTGAGTTTGGTTTTAGTTTCTTGTGACAAAAGAAAAGAACATAATCTAGCAGTTAAACCTTTTAAATTATATTATGCTAGTATTTGATTTTGGTTGACTCGCAGACACCAGCAGTATATTCGATGACGATCGGGCGTCTTTGATGAGGCATCTGCCTAAATGTGCGATACCGTTGTTACTTGGGAAGCTAGGCATCTCAGTTGACGAGGAAAGTGACGATTTGGAACAGAAGCTGCAATGTTGGAGAGACCAAAATATCAAAGAATCTAAAAGATCTTCCCTGCAGGCCCTCGTTTCAATCCATAGTGATGCAATGAACGAGACGAACAACAGTCATGGTAATTATCTGAAAGTAAATGTATTATATACGTAATAGGTAATAGGTAATAACTTGTTAAAACATGTATTTTACCATAAACTGACCAATTCACTTGCATTATTATTATTACTTCGATCAATGGATTCAATTACTATCCTGCACATTTCATGGCACATTCTAAAATCAATGCGGAGCATTTCAGGTAGTCGCCTTTTTACAAACGCACATACGCTAATCGAAACAATATGCATCCTACAAACGGGCAGAGAGGGGCAACAAACGTACCTTGCTCAAATTTATAAGTGCGGTACCGTGCCGGGATTCAAAACCACGATTGTTGCTTTCCAGTTAATCGGATAAACCCCTCAAATACGAAACAATTGCTCATAGGCCATAGGAATTTTACCAAGTCAAAACCTCTGGCTAGATAAATCCTTCGAAAAGTGTGTCATGGTTCTATCATTTACATTTAAAAGATATCAATCTACTTAAATAATCGACTCTTCACCCAGGTGAAGCAAATTCCTTGTTAGCTTGAGCGCCTCAGATTGTAACTCAGCTAAAGTTTGGTACTAGTAACATGTTCCTGGTAAGAGTATGATTGCTGGACCTCACGAAGAACATATAAATTAACATGACGAGACTTGGTTGTAAAATTGTGGCAGTATTTTTATTATTATTATCATAATTATAATGTTGTTCTTGTAGCGATCATTTCTATTTTGAAAATAATACGCATTGAACAACTCCACTTTTTCATTTGTCAAAAGATGTGAACTGTGCATTGTAATGGAAAATCACCATACAATTGGGGTTGCTTTCCTGATTTTATCAGCATAAAACATGGAGTGATTACTTTAGAACATATAATACCGGTCTACTTTCAGTCGAAAGTACAAGATATAACGAGTACTATAAATATTTGATTTATCTACTCTCTTTAAGTACTTGACGTGAACGATGATGAACTGGAGAACGTGATTGCAAGCATGACTTCCATGAAACAGATGGAAGAACTCACCTCAAGACTTGGGATAAAAAACGACAAAGAGCAATCACATATTCTTCATCTCACAGAATGGAGAAATAGATGTAAAATGGACGAACGCCGTAAAACGCTGAGAGAAGCACTCAATGCTATAGAATTATCAGGTACGTTCTTTTCTCATCCCACCTGACAAGTTAAACTATTAACATGTCTTGGGAAAAAAAATATACCATACAAAACAGGGCAAGGAAGAAATTTAAGAGAGAGAAGAAAAAAAATTCAATCATAATATTTGTTAATTGTACAAAGTTCAGCTCACCTTTTGACGGTAAAAGACACGGGACAGTGTCAATTTCTCGATCGCCGCTCTATACCCACCCTTTACTACAACGTTGTGGAACAAACTCTGAAGCCCTTTACGATTGCAAGGAAATGGCGCTGCAACAAATAATTTGTGAAGTATACTAGATTAGGTTGGGTTGGATGGCACAATTGATAACATTCATTTGATGTAGAGGTATCGTGGTCGAGTAAATATGTCTCACCGGACTAATGGCCTTTGGCAAGACATTGATCTACATTTGCCACACTCAACCCGGGTAATGTAAATGAGTGCCTGGCAGGAATTAATCCTGAAAATGATAGAGCGCCGTAATGGCAGCTGTGCTAAAGCCAGGGTAATAATCGGGAGCGCCAGAAGTGTCAAGTCTGACAGACATGAGCGCTATAGAAGAACCCACTATTATTATTTTTATTATTATTATTACGAACGGTTTACAACACATGTGTAATTTTTGAACCCGTCTCTCGAGAGATTTCTTATATAATGGTAACACTATTTGATGTAATCTTTGAGGCCTTTTAACATATTGAATGTTCAGTAATTGTTGTAGATCAACTGCCCACGAGGACGATACTGTTTTTCTTTATTTGCTTATCGATTTATTCTGTTCTTTTGTTGGTTATGTGTGCTGCTGGTCTAGACGGCCGTCGCTATCTCTGCTCTATCTTGCTGTTTTTTCAGTCGACTAGGAAGACCATATCTACTGTACAACATAACTTGCAAACAAAACACCGTTCACATGCCGATCTTATTATGTCCCGAGTTCGTTCAAACACACATAGAACGCTATTTATTACGTGTTATATATGCTCCCTTAAAACATATTTCGCTTTCTGTCTTTTTCCATTTAGGAAGCATTCTTGACCGACTTCCTGCAGAACATGTTTACCAAGCTGAGCTGGTACATTTGGCATGGAAAATATTTTATATCGATGTTTGGCCATTGACAACGCTTCTTGACATGGACACGAATAACGAGAAATCATTTGGGGAACAACAAACCAAAGGAACTGTACATCTTCTGATACAACTATTGGAGAAGTCGAAGGGTCTTGATAAGCATCGCCGCCGTGATTTCTGTGTTGCCATTAGAAATCTTGGTTACTTGGATGTTGCTCGATCAGGCTATTTTGGTAAGGAACATTAACCGATTTAACATGTTACCTGTGTCAAGAAACATTCTTGATTTAAGGTAGCTTAGGGATTGTTGGCACTCAAAGACATGTCCGGAACGCAAAATACATAAAGGTGGAAAACACAATTTTGTGTCATAGAGATAGAACGAAATAAATATAATTATTCTCATATGGAGCTGGTAAGAAAACAACGATATGACATGTATTAGGTTAATTGACACCAAATTGTCATTCAAATTATCTGAAATTGCACACTCTTATTCACGTATAGCAAGTACGATTATGCCTATCGGACGGGTCTATTTAGGATGCTACACTTGCTAATCTAAAGCTATGGTCATTAAGAATTTCATGCACATATATGAATGCATGTATGAATTCATCTAAAAGACGCATTTTGATAATGATTCAGCGTTGAATAGATGCCTGGATTTTTTTAGATGCTCAGTTCCCGGTTATCATTTATTTTCTAACTATATGGTTTGCCTAGTCACAATTATTCGTAAAATTAATTAACGAGTGTGACCTTCGTTTATTTCCGTGAATTTTCGTTAACATCCTTATTAGAACTGACATTATCTTTCATCAAGTTCTGAAGAGGACATTAAAACATTAATCTGTTCTGTTAAGACAACGAGTCACTCTCTCGTTTTGTAATCAAAGTATCTCTGTTTGATCTATTTCACGAAAAAATTTTTTTTACAAGATCTATGATACTTTTCCGCACCCTGGGTATTGTTTTCTTTACCCATTTAAAATTCTTAAATCCATGCTTGAAGGTTATGACGCAAGCCTCAGCGAACTTTGCAACATGACGTCGGGATTGTCGGAAGCAGAACTTGTAAAATTTGTCGACCATCTTGGATTGAAGAAAGATGTTCTTTCACTCTGTCAAGGCACAACAGAAGCATACGACAACCTCAAACTTATGAAGATCTTGAGAAACCAGCTTAGAATGAAACCACTTCACTTCAGATTCGAGCTAGCTTTGGGTCTTCGTGCTGTTGGAAGAACCAAGATTGCCTGTGGGATTCTCGCAGGTAAGCTCCATCAAGATAAACTAATGCATAATCTACTCGGGTTATATCATTTGTACCTCTTTTAATTAACTGAATAACCTGTTTTTGTATTTCTAGAATATCTAATTACTTTTTCCCAACTGATGTGCTAGTTTTGAGTAAGTAGCAGGTAATTGGTGTCGTGTGTACCTGCCTGGAAGGGCAAGCAGAATCACTGCAAGAACGTTACCCGTGATCACTGTTAACCACTTGACCACTACACAGAAAGGTCTCACTCCCGTCCTCTCTTCCATTACCTCATCCTTCCCCTCCCATGTTAATCGGATAGTGTAGTGGGTTCTTAACGGACATAGTTAGAAATTCTCAATATTAATTTAGGCCTACATGTTATGAACTTTGTACTGTGAGAGGAAGATTGAGATACAGATAAAGTAGGTGAGGGGGAGCTTTATGAAGGCTCTACATGTTATAAAATATCTTCTTCATCATAATAAACATATCATAAAGAGACTATCTTACAAATAAAGTAGGTTCTGTACCATCGCTTAAAATTTCTCTGATTTTCCTAAATCGTATAGGTGGGTACCACACTACGGAAGTCGGTTCCAGGGTTGTAGAAAGCATTTGCAGTAGTCTAGAGGATGACCAGCTGAAAATGCTCTGTAAACACCTTACCTTGAAGGATCAGAATGACCAGAGTCCTACAACGGATACAGCAACACTTGTGACGGAGTGGGTAAGAAACTGGTTGGAAGAATTTGACAAATTTTCAGTGATGAAAATAATCATGGACAAGATTGACCTCAGGAGAAAGAAGATTGACAACCTGTTTAGTGCCGGATTTGTCATACTTGCTGAGGAAGTCATGCTACTCGAGATGTCCAGAATTCTGTATGGCAAATCAGCCGATAAGACATGTGAGGAGACACCAAGCAAGGATGATTTTGATGTCGAACCGGAAAATAAGGAACATCAGTTGGCATTTATGGAGCAAGAATCTGATATCAAGCAAGCCAATGAGAAGCGTCTGGAACACGCTAGCGCGCAAGAATCTGATATCAAGCCAGCCAATGAGAATCGTTTGGAAAACGCTGGCGAGCAATAATCTGAAAGCAAGACAGCCAATGAGAAGTGTCTGGATAACGCTAGCGACCAGGGATATGTAATCATAGGCGCCGGAAGTGGGGGGGCAGGGGGGGCAGTTGCCCCCCCAGTCAAAAAAGTGGGGGGGCAAAACGCATTTTTGCCCCCCCAAAACGCCCCCCCCCCCTCCAAAAAAACAAAAACAAACAGTAAAGGAGTAAACATGGTTTGTATTTTTAATCCAAAAGAACGTAACAATAATAAAAACCTAAATTAAATCACATATACAATCATCTGTATACAATTCCATTCAAAGAAAAAGGAAAGTTCACAGGAATTAAATTTCATAAACATTGCGCATGCCACCTATACGGTATTATAATAGCGATACGCGCATATCGTGGACATATTGTGCGAGAATGGGAAAGCGTGTCCGTTTTTTTTGTTATAGGGGTGAGAAGACATGAGCCACTGAACGCTGGCGTACTGATGGGGGGGGGGGGGGTGATGTATTTCTTATTCGAAACAAGTGATTTACAAATGTTGATGTTGTGACATGATTTTCCGGCATTTTTTCTCCATTTTTCTTGTAAGTCATACCTTTTTATGCGTTTGTTGGAAAATAAGAAATTCCCAAATTACAGTCAGGCGAAATACGCTTATTTAGAAGCCTTTATGTCATGGTCTGCAAAGTGGCTGAGCTCGACCTCCCCCCCCCCTCCTTTTTGAAAAAGTATGTTAAAGAGAAAAAGAAAGAAAGACGGAGAAGAAAAAAAAGTGACCTGCCAATGTCACAAATAAGGTATAAAAAATGCTCATCTGACCGTAATTAAATGCTTAAAACCCCAGAGCTTACGGGGGCTCTGCCCCCGGACCCCACCAAGGGACCTAAGGCGGGCCCCTGGATGCTCATCTGACCGTAATTAAATACCTAAAACCCCCGAGCTTCCAGGGGCTCTGCCCCCTGGACCCCAACAAGGGCTCTAAGGCGGGCCCCTGGATGCTCATCTGACCGTAATTAAATACCTAAAACCCCTGAGCTTCCGGAAGCTCTGCCCCCTGGAACCCCACCAAGAACCCTAGGGCGGGCCCCTGGATGCCCATCTGACCGTTATTAAATACCTCAAACCCCTGAGCTTCCGGGGCTTTGCCCCTGGACCTCACCAAGGGCCCTAAGGCGGCCCCCTGGATGCTCATCTGACCTTAATTAAATACCTAAAACCCCTGAGCTTCAGGGGGCTCTGCCCCCTGGACCCCACCAAGGGCCCTAAGGCGGGCCCCTGGATGCTCATGTGACCGTTATTAAATACCTCAAACCCCTGAGCTTCCCGGGCTTTGCCCCCTGGGCCCCACCAGGGGCCCTAAGGCGGCCCCTGGATGCTCATCTGACCTTAATTAAATACCTAAAACCCCTGAGCTTCCGGGGGCTCTGCCCCCTGGACCCCACCAAGGGCCCTAAGGCGGGCCCCTGGATGCTCATCTGACCGTTATTAAATACCTAAAACCCCTGAGCTTCCGGGGGCTCTGCCCCCTGGACCACACCAAGGGCCCTAAGACTGCCCCTGGATGCTCATCTGACCGTAGTTAAATATTAAACCTCTGAGCTTCTGGGGGCTCCCCCCCCCCCTTGGAACACGTCAATTGCCTTACAGAGGGCCCCTGGATGCTCATCTAACCGTAATTAAATACCTAAAACCCCTGAGCTTCCGGGGGCTCAGCCCCTGGCCTTGACCCCCTGCCGAGGCTCATGCCCTGGACCCCACGCCAATTTACGATCTACCTGATCCACTTTGAAAAACGTTCCGCGGGACCTGCATGTAACGTGTAAGACTGGTGGTGATGCAGATTTTTCGTCTCCCCCCCCCCCCTTCCGAACAATTTTTCTCATTACGTCACTGCCCCTGGAATGTGAGCCCCCTGGAATGTTTGCCCCCCCAATCCCAAACTGCTTCCGGCGCGCCTGTATGTAATCATACCGGACATTGAGGAATACGACGGGGGCATCATGCAAGTATGAATTTGAAGTCAACTCGGACAATAAGGTGTGAGAAAAGACATCGGAAATACATGAATATGACATCGAGCAAGCAAATGAGAAGAATGAGAAGACATTGCCGGGTTCGAATTCGTGTCGCAGGAAATTGGGTACCTAGCAGGAATAATGTCCTTGAAATGCTCGAGCACTGTAATGTCAGCCGTGCTAGAGCCATTGTAACGATGACATGGCGCCATGAGTGGCATAATGTACTTGACTCCACTATGTTTTTGTATTGTCATCTTACATACTATGATGAGGTTGCTTGATGCCTCCTATGAACCTTGTCAAAACGCAATCGTTGATGACGTGCGTCAAGGTTTGGTCTTGGTGGTTGGTTAAATTTATTGGTTAATTTATCAAGATACTGAACCTGACAGTCATTAGGCTGAACTATATTAAGTGAACACACGATAAAAACAACTTCACTTGCATATCAACGTTGTAACAATTATCAACATTCATTATATTTAGGAAACTATTAACATTCATAACAGTAGGGAAGATGGTGACCACAGCTGTATGCTGCCGGCATTCTCTCTGTATTGGTTTTGCACTTGTTTTGCTCAGTCCTGGCATGCTCAATCTCGTGTCTCTTCAGGGAAGTCTGTGCATATCACATAGCTTGCGCCAAATTTCGTTGGGGTTGTATTGCACAGATTGGTTCTTTACTTGACCAATAACTTGGGTATTTAAACATGCGCTTTTATAAAGAGAATGTTAAATTCAGGGAAGAGGTGAACAATGATTTTTGAGCGTTATCATTGTATTATGCAAGTTTGGAAGAACGTCAGATGACGAATATTCCCTGAAAAGCATGGCTCTTCAAATGCAATATAAATATGGCATGTGACATCATAAAAATTGGGACGGAAGTTTATGTCACATGTTCGTGTAGTCCCATATCTTTCTGTGTACAGTGCTTGTAACTATACTAAGACTGGGCTAAATGTATTATGATTTTGATGACTCCAGAACCTTGCAGTACACACTGATACTTATATGCTAGATGATCAACTTTTTTTTTGGATCAATTCCACAACGTTTCTTTCACAATGATTTTGAATGAACAGAACTTTATCTTAAATTCAACTATTACATTCCTTAGTATATTTATTATCGTTATAGTTATTTGTGTACATGTTTTGTTGGAATATGCAAATGAAATCAACTATATGAATAGTGAACTATTATGTAGTCAACCCTATTTAAACTAATTTCAACGACGCAGCATTTCCTGTATACGATGTAACTATATAATACAGTATTCTCCAAACTTTTCTAAAAAAACGGCCCTTCGAAGGGCCACTCCTTCCGACGAATCGCACAAATCCTTCGCATCTATCAACACGGTGATAACACGGTGATAACACGGTGTAATAGTGTAATATAAATGTGTTGTGGGAAAGGAGGAAAAATAGGTGTTTTCTTTTTTTCATTTGTATATAATATACATTCATTATACACTGCTGCATCCAATTGTATAGTGACGATGATAATGTCAGTGCATGTTTAGCAAGTATGATAACCATGTGCTAATACAGCATTTAGTATGTAAATCGTACTTTATCCTTTTTGTAAATCATTCTAACTCATAGTTACGATTTTGTATTACCTTAGTTTCATACTTTTTCCTTTTCGTATCTAATATTTTGACAAAGGGTATATATAGGGAAAAGGTCGTGTTGATTCTTTTAAAATGCGTAATCCGTTGAAAATACATTGATATTTTTTTGTCTTTAAGTGTTTGGTTTTAGAGTGTGACTTTGATGAAAATACTCATCCATGATCTTCAGAGCATAAAGCAAACCCGGAAAAAACAGGAAACCTATAGCTTTGTCTTTACAATACCCACCGAAAATGTATATATTTTATAAGCAGTTTAGGATTCATCCACATGTAAAATTTCCATTTTAGGCAATGAAAATGAAAATACTGCTGATTGTGGAAAACGTTAGATGCATCGGAAACTCTGGTCAGGAGACGATTACCAATAAAACCTGTAATTGTTGCCATACCTTTATAGATCAAATCGCGGATGGATCGTGTATGTAAAACATGCACAATTCTGACCAGCAGTTTACGTCTATTCGTCAAGTAAATAATTTTAGACTACTTGATACGGCCGATTGCCAGATGGATTGCCTGTCTTTCCTCTTTCCTGTTTTTACATATTTTGCGTTTTGCGTTTATAGTTTTTCTATTCGTTCGTTTATTTGCTTTGGAGGATTGACGGTTCATCTATGGTGTGCGATGATGTAAATGTGTTTATTGTAGCTTACAAATCAAATATGTGTTTTCCGAATGCCAATAACAAAGGGACCATTTACTCTGATATTTCTTCTCGAGATATACTCTAGATATATTCGCATTTAGATAACGATATAAGAAGAAAGAGGACATGGTCAATGAAGATATGTAATAGAAAATGTCACTTTGAAAATGCACACAAAAAAAGTATTTATTTTGGATGTTGTTAAAATGTCGTACGGTTATTTCGGATCATATCCGAAGAGTATTTGATTGCCAATTTTGAACCTAATTTACAGAGTTTTTATGTGTAATATTTCTTAGATACAACAGAATTTTCAAGTTAAAGTATTATTAAAGAAGTTAAACATTTTTTAGTATTGAGATGTGTTTTTCATCAGGTATGTACATGTTTAAAGAGCATAGGATGCGACGTTTTGATAGGGGATATAGATAGGTTAGTTCAGGGCCTGCCTAATCTTAAAGAATTGAATTATATGTGAGACATAAAAAGGAATACTAGAGAAGTGTGGGGGAATATAGGTCAATTACAGGACCAAGTTGCAGAGAGTCGAATGAATAGAGGAGGAGTAGGTGTTTTTAACAAGACTTGCAAGTCTTGAGTTGATAATCTTATTTCGATGTTATGTGAAGTATAACCCTATAGGTTGACTTTTGGTTATTTTTTTGTTGGGCCTTGTTTATATTTCATTGTTGAAATATCAAGACGTACTGTCTTTTCTTATTGTATGGACTGGGGTATATGTTTTTAACGCCATAACAAAGTGAG